GGTCGCTAAGGACCAGAAATCGTTAACCGGGTTGGTGGGCATTTTGGATTCCGACGAAGATACCAGTCTATGCCTAATGAAACGAGCACTTATTAACCGGGACTACAAAGGATTTACCGTATCGGCCCCTATATAAAATCCTTTTGGCATTGTGCAGCGGTGGTTGATGGCTGTATTGTCGTGGACAATAGGATCGCTATTCCCATGTGCCTAAGAAAACCATTATTGTCTCGACTACATAGGTCGCATGCGGGTCAGTTAGCCATGGTTGATGCTGCGCAATACATCTGGTGGCCCCGAATGCACCGAGATATCGTCCAGCTATGCAAAGATTGTCACCAGTGCACAAAGTTTGGTAAGAATTCGAAAGCGAACGCTTCATTTAACTCTTCCAAGCCTTTACCCCTCTTGTCTGGTCCTAATGAAGAGCTGCAGCTCGATTACGCAAGCCCTCTACTCGATTCGTTTGGTAACAGTATTTATATCTTGGTCGCGATCGACCGTTACTCAAAATAGCGAATTGATAGCGAATTGATAGCGAACATCACAAAAATGTATCATTATGACCAAAGCCGGAAATCGCGTGTGAAATGTGACGCCAGTCATAGTGGTTTGGGTGCTGCGTTAGAACAGGAGATAGAAAAGGATGTTTGGGTCCCTATTGCTTTTGCGTCAAGCTTTCTCAATGATCAGGAAAAGAAATATAGTACTAATGAGTTAGAACTTCTAGCAATTGTATGGTCGTGTGAGCATTTTCGAAATTATTTGTTGGGGAATCATTTTGTGGTTTAAACTGAACAAAAAGCGATTATCTGCGCGTTAAAGACCAATCGAGGTAACAAAACTAATCAATCACGATTAACCAGATGGGCTGATAGGTTATTGCCTTTCGATTTCGATATTTTCCATATCTCCGGATAAAAATTGGGTTTAGTGGATTATTTATCCCGTTTCCCAACGTTTGAAGCACCGCGACCAAGCAGTTTTGACAAACAATATGTGGTCAAATGATTAGTCGATTCTTTGATGCGTGCAATTTCCTGGACGAATGGGCCAGGTGTTGTTCTTTATTAGAAGAATCACCTACTATCACGAAAAACAGCCAGAATTCTGCCGTATCTAATACAATAAACCTAATTGAGTCATTGGATTTCGGTCAGCCTCGGGCCAGTCGTCCCGTTATGGACAATTCAATAGTTGCATCTAACAAATTTGGAAGCCTATCGGTAGAGGGCGCCATAATTCAAAACATTCCAGCTACATCGCAAGGCATAAAATCGATAGAGGGCGACAAAAATTTAGACAGTAAATATATCCAACAATTCAATACGTTTGTCACTTCTCCGCTAGAGGGCGTCAAAATTGCTGGTTTAAAATCTAGCCAATCAGCGTTGAGAGAAATCATGCAAGTTTTTGTCACTTTCTCAGCATGGATTACATATTATCTGCCAGTTTTGATTTCAGTGTGGATTATTACTTTGGCCGTTAGTGATTGTGATTTGTTGTTGTCGTTCGTAGATTTTTTCGTCTTTGTTTCATCGTATCGGATTTGCTGGAGTGTAATCGTATTATTGGGTGCTTTTTATTTCCAGACTGCAATGGACTCTAACACCAACAACACAAATGACAGTTTTGAGCAACTTCTTAATCAGTACCTTCCAATCAACCAACATTGGTTTTCCTCAGATAGGGCTCGGCCGCGGTTTCGCGCGGGGGTAGTACGTCCCAGAAGGTCGTCAACTTTACAACGCGGAGTGGAGTTGAGGAGTCAATATGCCCGTATATTAGCCAATTTCAGAACAAAAAGGGCCAGGAAAACTACATTAACAAATCGTCAACCTCAGTCAGTTCAAAGTCTAGAGATTTTGAAGTCACCAGTGGTCGCTAAGGACCAGAAATCGTTAACCGGGTTGGTGGGCATTTTGGATTCCGACGAAGATACCAGTCTATGCCTAATGAAACGAGCACTTATTAACCGGGACTACAAAGGATTTTACCGTATCGGCCCCTATATAAAATCCTTTTGGCATTGTGCAGCGGTGGTTGATGGCTGTATTGTCGTGGACAATAGGATCGCTATTCCCATGTGCCTAAGAAAACCATTATTGTCTCGACTACATAGGTCGCATGCGGGTCAGTTAGCCATGGTTGATGCTGCGCAATACATCTGGTGGCCCCGAATGCACCGAGATATCGTCCAGCTATGCAAAGATTGTCACCAGTGCACAAAGTTTGGTAAGAATTCGAAAGCGAACGCTTCATTTAACTCTTCCAAGCCTTTACCCCTCTTGTCTGGTCCTAATGAAGAGCTGCAGCTCGATTACGCAAGCCCTCTACTCGATTCGTTTGGTAACAGTATTTATATCTTGGTCGCGATCGACCGTTACTCAAAATATCCGTCAGCTATGATTACACGTTCTACGGGAGGACGAAAGATTATTAAATTTCTTAAATCGTATATTCAACAGCATAGTATCCCCAAATCTATCAAAACTGACCAATATTCTGGTTTTAAGAACAAATTAGTGCAAAATTTTTGTAAAGATAAAAATATTGCCCAATATTTCTGCCCGGTGGGGGACCATTGTGGTTGCGGTCTAGTAGAAAGTTCGATCCAAACGATTAAACGTCGTTTGGGCGCCTCGCGGTTGAGTTCGGATTTCTCAAATGTTCAAGATACTCTTAGAAATACTATTGAAGATATTCGGATTACAAAAAACTCTGTTACTGGGGTTTCACCTTTTGAGCTTCACTTTGGCCGTCCTCCGAATACGGAGCTATCTATTGCGGCTGAGCGTTTATCTACGGGCGTTAATTTAGATAACCAACAATTGGAACGGGACCTACTAACACCCGAACAGCGTCGGGAGCAGTGCGATAGCCGACCGAGGATAAAAGTTGTCAGGAAGGGGCAGTCAAGCCCGACGGTGTCTCCATACTTTGGAGGACCTACGGACTCAGTTTCGGATACACCTCACTATCGCGCACTGGAGAGTCTGGCACATTCCGCCAATCAGTGGCTGACGTTGAAAAAGTCATTGTCACATCAGGAGGGAGTCAAAGCGTTGAAGACGCTGACGGAAAGAAATCAAGTCCTCGCAGCCACCCTTCGCTCCAATTTGTCTGCTGGTACCCTTAGATTTAGGAACCAGATGCAAACGGATCAAATTCGTCCGTCGTTACCAAAACGTAATTTGGATTACTTAGTATTGAATGAACCAAATAAAGTCGAAAAATTTAGGAAATTTCTAAATAGGAAGTCTTACAGAGAACTTTTCAAACCTTTTAAGGGCAAAATTGTGCGGATCACTGGGTCCACATATATTTCTGATAAGGGAAAAGTGATTAGAAGAAATCATTTGGCGGTACGTCTTAAATCAACCGATCTAAGTTTTTCAGGCAAACAACTAACGCCTGTCAAGAAGGGGCAAAAACGCCCCATTGTGTCATCTTCACCGTCATCATCAGAAGACAATCGGCCTCTCAAACAATCGAGTTCACGCCAACGAATCACAGCCAAAACTGTAAAGGTACCTGCTCACCCGAAATTCCTATCTCTGCCAACTTCATATACTCCATCTCGTGGCCAAATTGTATCAACTAAGTCAAAGCACACTTCAATCTCGAAGGCTCCAGGCGTACAGATTATTCCTTTTCCACAACACTCTACTCCAGTAGTAGACTTAACGGCATCTTCTTCCACTTCTGGAAATCAAGGAACGGAGGTTCCCATCAGTATTAAACCAAATTCACCAGCTTCAGTAAAAAATCCAGTATGTCCAGACCTCATCCCCATTTCTTTAGACGATGAGTCTTTAATTCCGAAATCTCAAGAAAGAACTTCGACAAGTTTGGCAGCATCGGGCCTTCCCACCCAAGATGGTCCCGGCATAATGTCCGAACCGGATGGAAATATATCATCTTCTTCGAATTCGTCTCGTGCCTCTTCACGATGGAAAAAGCAGACAACATTTTACGGCAGTCCCATCAGACATTCCGTGAATATCATTCAAACACAGTCGATGTCTACACCTCCGTCAACTCCTGCTTCGCCGGACAAGAAAGTTCGTTTTGTCGTGGCTAATCCAGAACTAGTAAACCAAGCAGGACAGTCTCGGGTTGTTCTTCCCGATGATTCTGAAGGCTTATATAGAGAATTCACGCGCTTCCCTAAAAAGAGTTCTTCCGACCATCCATTGCGTCGTTCAGACAAATAAAACTTTTCGTACCTTCGAACTAGCTAAAACTTACAAAACTTTCGTTTTCTCCCTCAAGTCACATCAGTTCATTTGTAAAACTCCTAGTGTTTTATCTGATACAAGAAGTACTGTTTAACGTCCGTGAGGGCACATATTTAGTAATTTTTTCTCACAGTAAAGAAATTCAAAGGTTGTTTGAATTTTTCCCGAGAGGGGGAAATGTGGTGTGGCGTAGTTTATTAGATTATTATGACGTCATTAGTGTGCTAGTTATTCGTGCTAAACTCGCCTTTTGTTTATCAAGGTCGCGACCGACCTGCCAATCCTTTCTAGATTTATCATCAAGTGCTCTCATTCATTCTGTCTCAACTTATGAAAGATTTAAGTTGTATTTAAAAGATTTGTCATGACATTATCTACGTAACTGAAACTATCTATATTCTTTACAATATTATTTATACATAAAACAAGGAGAATTGATTCTTGTTTTAACAACTGTTCTTTAAACATTCACATCCACAAGAAATTCTGAAATATAAAATCCCTTTTTGAAAGTAGAAGTCATCCAGGTTTGCTCGCTCTATTTGCACTTTCGTGATTAGAAAACGCAATTTGCTTTTCCTTTTGAAATGACCTTGAGGAAAAAAAATCAAGTCGCCAAAAAAAAACAAATTAGAGCGTGAACATCTTCAAGACAATTTCCTGAAACTCAAACCGAAAAAAACTAGACTTAAATAAGTGTGTTCACTTCGTTAATTGACACTTGAAACAAGAGAGACAAAAAGATGATCTACTGAGTACCTGTTCCATGTTGTCTGTGATGTGTATGACGAATGCCCGGGCAGGCCCACAGCACTGTCGCATGCAGAGGTCACTCTCCTCCATCGCGTAGTACACCTGCTGACCCAGCGTGTTCTTCAACACATATCTATTCTTCGTCTCCCAACCCGTGAATGCTACAACACAAAAAGTAAGTTAAATATCAATTAAAAAAACAGCAGCGGGGTATATTATAATAAACGGCCCAAAAATGGACGTTTTAGCTGTTTTAAAAGTTTGATCATGATGCTCGAATCTGATTGGTTGAAATTAGTATCATCAAAAAAATCTGTGTTTTCAATTAAAACTGAAACTCAATTAACAGTTTGATAATTTTGGGCAGTATAGTAGAGAAGAAACCAACAGCACAATTTTTCAGATCTCGTTAACAAATCCACACCCCCTATGATAACCATTAATCACCACCATAATCAATGCTAATTTTTGTCCTTGTAACGAATCTCCAACTCTAACGAATTTCAAATTTCCCATTTTTACAATTTTCAAGCACTCGATAAGCGTGTTCATTGGAATTGCACGTTGACTTTCACATTTTAATTGAATTCACCTGGAAAAAAAAACGCTAACGGCTCTAGCTCATCATCAATACAGCCCCACACAACACAATAAACTCTGTTGATCCAAAGATACAAAAACTAATGAATGCTACAGTTGTTTCATTTCTAGACTGGATAGAGCTATAATGAAAGAACCCACTCAAACACTGACTACTAACCCTCAAGCAGTTCGACCACCTGGTGTACAAGTATCTGGTCCACTTGGGTCAAATATTCCAGTCCCGGGGGACAGTTGGGCACTGATCCGGGAGGAGGCATCACCCACTCCGGTTGTTTCAGAGAACACGTGTATTGCTACAACACAAGTTTTTGGGCTCTTCATTACATTCCCGACATTTAAGCTTCGAATAAAATGAACCATTTTAGCGCTGTCATTATGCAAACAAACTTTGCCTGGTGAACAAACAAGCTATTGTTTTTTTTAAAAAACTAGCACACAACTGACAGCTAAAAAAGTGTCAATAAACGCAAGGAAAAAAAATCGACTTGTTTTGAAAAAAAACGACAACATTCGAACTCAAAAAAAATCACGTCCTTAGAGCTCCTCGAAATTCCATCACAATTTAGGATTGACACGTTTTTGATAAAAAATTAACCAAATTGGATCATTCAGTAATTTTTTTCCGCTGGGAAATCATGAAACAAAATCCTTTTTTGAAACTAGAAATCGATAATGATTTTCGTGAAAATTTTCACTTTTTCTGTTCGATAAAGATGTTTGCCTTCCACGGGAAATCAACTGAGCTTAAAAACTGAAAAAATCCAACCGTGAAAAATCACTTTAGGGTGTAAACAAACTTTTCAAGACAACGAAAAACCAACATGACCTATATAAGTGTCTTCACTAAATTAATTGCCACGTAAACAGATTTCTTCTTGAAATTTTATATTGCAGTATCAAGCTATGATAACACGTTAAATCACTAACAATATACTTAAACCACTATAGAACAACTAGGAAAATATTGAATGAGAAATATTGAACAGTGCACATTTGAATTATTCCAAACCGAAAGATTTAAGAAGAAAAATACAACACAACGCCATCAACAAAGACAACCATAATTTTTTACGATTTGTCATAACTCGATTTGTAGTAGTTCGATTTGAGGATAGCATTCCAATTAAGACAACTGCCACTGTTTAAGTACAATTTAAACAAAACTTACGCAGCGGTAAGTAAGCAAACAATAATTAGACATCATCTGGGAAGTTTTATACGGAATTAAATATATATTCTATTTTATAGAAATGTGATATCATGGCTTAAGGCGCGATGCTGCAAAGTGAAGTTAGACGAAGAAATCTGTCTCAGAGTCAAGGAACGTAGTGAAGACACTTAAATGGACCGAGTTGATTTTTTCAATTTTTTCAGGAACATTTTATAAAATCTGTTTGGGCTCCAAGTTGTTTTTCGCATAAGACTTTGTAACTTTTTAACTAAGGAAATGAACTGAGCTTAAAAATAAAGTTCATTTTCTTAGTTAAAAAGTTACAAAGAAGGAAAACTCCACAACCAAACAGAATAAGTGTAAATTTCACAAAAACGTGATCGACTTCTAATTTCGAAAATGAAATTTATTATATGATTTCAGAAAAAAGACAGGCAATTGGAAAAGACTCAATTAAAACAATGAAAGAGAAACGAAAATTGACTTGTTTTTTTAAAAATCTCAACTTTCAATTTTTGTTGAAAAAGATGGCCTTAAAGCTCTTTGAATATCAAGAACAATTTCTGATTGACACTTTTTTGATAAAATTAACCAAATTGGAGAAAACTGGTTCATTCGGCAAAATATTTATTTCGCTGGGAATCTGATAATTATAATCAACTTTCGAAATTTGAAGTCGGTAAGGCTTTTCGTGATTTTACACATTTGCTGTTCAATAGTTGAGTTTGCCTTACTTTCAAAAAAGGGAAATGAACTGCACTTAAAAAAATCGAAAGTCAAATCGCGACAACTCAAATCTGAGCCGAAAAAACTTGAAGTTTTCATGATAAAAAAAACAAAAACCATCACGACCTATAAAAGAGTCTGAACTACGCTCGTCGACTTTTAAAAATGATTAGAAGGTAGTTTAAGATGCAGAAATGCTCAAATATATATTTTGTTGACAAAATCAGAATAGATCAAATGATTCGATTGATTTTGTTGAACGAAGTAAAAGTCTACCTTCCAATTTGATAACTTCTTTTTTTCTAAATTTCCTGTTGGATTTTTGAAGAAACCGAACAAGTTGAAAACTGCTAGGAGAGATAGGAATCGTAAGCTAGATAAGACCACACTTCACCACCTACTAAATTTTTTTCAGATCGTCAAAATGCGAGATCCTAAAGTTAGTTCAACTACTTTTGATATTGTTTAACGTTTACATGTGCTTGTAAAAAAAGTGCTTGTTGCCGAAACGAGTGTTAGGTTAACTCAAATTTTTCGGCTTATTTAACAGTTCAGTAATTCAGTCTTTCAGTAATTCCAAATTCACGTTTTTTATATTAAATTTCGTGGTACTTTTCCACAAGCCACATAAAAAGTGACATTTTTCTTGCTTCAAAGGAAATTGTTCCTGACAGACAAAAAATGAGTTAGGTGATTATTCCATGCATTCTAAGGCTTACGCTTGATTTTTCATTACTACTACACCACACTTTTTTTCAAATTGCGCGCTTTCAAGATTTCAGGGTGGTACTTAGACAAGCTGTCTAGCTTTTTCTGACATCCTCCGCATGTGCATTAAACATGCCGTATTTTACAATATAATAACCGCAAACGTGGTGAGTCTGAGGGGTAGGGCATTTGAAATCCAAATTCTGTAATTAAAAAAGTTCAACCAATACTTCACAACTTCAGTCCAAACACAGCTCCCAGAAAAGTCGAAACAGAAAAAAAATGCAAAAAATTATTATTGATGAAAAAATAGAAAGAAAAACTATGTCAGCCATAAGATTTTTATCAGCTATAATAATTCATTGGGAAAAATTCAATAAATTGCACAAAAAAGAGGTTAAAAACGAATACATGGCCCTGCAAGTGTAACATAGAAGCGAATCACCACTTACCATGCAAAGCAATGCAGCGAGAACACTAGCCAGAAGATGACAAAAAGCAACTCTATAAAATGCAATAAGAAAAAGTAGAAATAAGCCTCGAATTAGCAACAAATCTGGCTACGTCTGAGATTCAAACCTGCGACCTAGATATTGAGTCTCACATCCTCAGTACTCAGCCACGGAAGCTTAATACGACATAGCCAAACACTAGTCACAAATAAAACAGAGAACAGATGCTATGCAAATTCCAATTCTACAGTGAAATTTCCAAATAAGTGAACACTTTTGATGAACACATTTATTTGCGAGTTAGATTAGAAAAAAAAGAACGTTCTTAACAATACACTAAGCTGACGCTAGTGTAAATGCAAAACCCACACGACCTAAAAGTCACATCGTTCGTTGTCTATTTTCTAAACGAATAAGCTAATAACTAAATATTGTGCATAACTCACCCTTATGAGGGGCGGGAAATGTTTTTGACTTTCATTGAATTTAGGCGAAGGGGTAGAATTAATTCCTGCTTCGTCTGAAGGTGTTTTTTCTTCTTCGTCTCTACTCTGTTCGTCAGCACTCGACTCTCGGAAAGTGACTGAGGGCAAGAGATCTACGCCACCATTCGAATCACACGACCTCTGTGATGCTTTAGTTCCATTTACATGCGAATAACCCGAATGTTGGCTGTCGTTGGTACAATGATGCGATAGCGTTGACATAACTTCCAGGAATTTATATAGCTGCAAAGTTAGGTAGTAAAAATATGCTGAAAGGAATTATGATGATGCTCAATAAACTTAGCTTGCATTAAAGAGAAATTCGCGCAGCATCAAGCGAGCACTATAGCAGGAATATAGCATTATCAGGATGACAAATATCTTAACAAGCTTTCATACTTCTGAAACACAATAACTGAATCAGATACATGGTGTGAAAATCCTACTTTTAAAGATAAACTAAAGGGTAGCAGTAAAAAATAATGTTCACAACAGTCATAAGTTCACGTGCAATTATTATATTGATTCGACGAACATAGAGTCAGGAGCGAAGTAAGAATTAAATATAAAAGCAAAAAATGAAATAATACCTTTTAATAAACGATGAAATAAGCCGGTTTTTGCTTTAGCCAGGAATGAATTCTAATATGAGAAGATGCATATATATTCTATCCCTTTTTCGGCTTATATTAAAAAACAGCCGCACACAGCTTTTAATATGCTTATGTACCAATGAGTCCCTCTGGGCTAGGAAACTGCGGCGACAGGTAAATCAGTAGACGGGAAAGGGAGACGACAAAAATAGAAATATGAAACAGTTGGGAATATGGATCTACTTAACAATCTACTTTCCAGTAGTTGTTAAGTAGATCAAGCAAGTCGAAATTTCGACCAATCAGAGTGCAGCAAAATTATAATTCTCAATAGAAAACTTAAGTGCTGTTTTACTGTATTTATCAAAAAAGGGGGGTGAAATTTTTCAGTAGATACCATGAAGGGATTGTTCAGTAGATCCGGAATATAATACAAAAAATGCAGTCACAAGTAACGAACGCTTGTTTAACTACCTTACATTCTGTATACGTAGTATAACTTTCACATGAAGACATTATTGTCGCTATTATAGATTTTCCATAAAATTGAGCTGTAAAAAACCTATACATATTTCGCATTTCTATTTCTTCAAATAAATGTTTCAACTTCTCGCTTTTGAACTTTTAAACTCAATTATCTGCCGTCTCAATTTCTGGTCACCCAGAAATCAGGTGACCGGAAACTAGGACGTTAGGTGATTGAGTCTGAAAGTTCAAACGTCAGAAAAGATAACGTTTACCTGAAAAAAAAACAAAGATGGTAAAATTGAAGCTTATATTAATTGAAATATGTCTATTTTCAGCTTAACTTCTGAACAAAAACTCTGCAAACAACGATTCACGACTATTACACTTTTGCGCGGAATGCAAGCATGGAGAACTATTCGCTCGTTGTTTTCCACTGCATTTTTTTTGCCTTGTTTCCAGTTTTCAAATTTTTGTTGATGTCGTCTCCATTTCCCATGAACTAACTTGCCTGTCGCCTCAATTTCCTCAATGATCCGGATTCCTGGTTTTCATTCAACCATTTTATGAACTGACGCTCCGCCAGCCAAGCATTACCAATACGCAATTGCAGCTACAACACGCTTGAGGCTTTGAACCTTATTACTACCCCTACACGGGTCCCACAAATGGTTAAAAAGTAAAGTTTTTTGAATACCTTTTGACAGATATTTGATGACTCATGATATACAAAAACTTGATTAAAAACCTTTTAAATAGAAGATGAATTTACACTCTCAAGCTGAAACACAAGCTCACGGCTATTACAAATTGAATTTCTCACAATAGGAAAACCTAAGATACAAGAAAGCATGTTACTGATCTTCATAAGATAAACTTTCAGAGTAACGTCCGCTAATTACACTTCGCTAAACAGCACATTTCAGCGCCATTAAGAAAACTAAATATATTTTGCTAATTATCACTCCTAATCACCTAAACAAACGCTCAATGGCTTAAGGTAAAATAGCAAAGAATAATGAGAAAATAGTAGGAATAATGAGAAAATAGTATGAATAATGAGAAGAAAAAAAAAGGAAGAAGAGGAATAAAAAAAGAAGAGTAGACGAAAAAGAAGACGAAGAAGAAGACGGGTAGACCTATAGTTGCCAATTAATTTGCCTGAAGTATGCCCATTCGAAGAATGCTGTCATCTTTCACTACTTTGCAATATCTGTCATTTGTTTCCATTGCTTATTTTTCTTCTTGAATTTGTTTTGAAAAAAAAACGGAGAAATAAATTGTTCTTTTTCCAAGGAACAGTGGCTGAGTAGGAATTCAGCATTCCTTCTCAGAATAAAAATGACTGATTGAGGCCAACCAAGATGCTAACTCGTTGCTGCAGACCGAGGTAACACCAGTCAGCTTAAAGAAGGAGATAAACATCAATTAGATGCATAAAAGCAGTTCTGATGATCAAATAGCTCGTATGTTGGTCTTTTCCACCAAAAAAAAACGCTTATCTCTTTTACCGTGGAAAAATTCTTTTATCTTATCTAGCTTCTTTATAAGATGCTGAGAAGATTAAAACATGAAAAAAAAACTAAATAATTGGAAACCACTAGTCGAAGACAAAATATTGGCAGTAATTATCAATAAGGAAATATTGTCAAGCATTTGTGATCTAAACAAATCATCATTGAAGTTTTGTTTTTGTTTATTTTTTTGATCATTCAATTTTTGCTCTGATCACCCCTAAGGAAAGGGAACTACGGTTAAAGGGTGTTTTTCCATTCAAAAACGGGTATCACAAAAACAGCTAGAATAAGGTTGACTGATATTCATATTAAAACCATTGGTGACTCAGACTAAAAATTTATTTCAAAAAATGTTCTCAGTCCGAGAAAAATTGTTCTGAACAGTTCGAGAACCTAATGAAGAACGAAGTCAATGACTAAACTAAAGTAATTTGAGAGGAATTTTCGGCTGAACATCCAATCTCTCACTACGACTGAAAAATTTGCAAATACTTAAAATTTCAATCTTCTTTCGTTTGTTTTTGAAAATTTTGCAGTGCTAATACGGTTGGAACAAGCTATGCAATCTGCACAACTACCACTTAGACTGGTTCACCCTTAAATTAAATAAAACCAGAAAGAAATTCTAGCGATTCAAAAATATATGAATTTTCAGGTTTAAATAAAAAAAATGACTGTGCAAACTTCAAAGTATTTAAAGAGTAGGCACGTCGTGCCATTCTGTAGCGCCCTTTTGATTCGTTAAAAACTCATATGACAAACTCGAACCAGGCAAAACAATGACTGGTGGAAAGTAAGCAAAAATGATTGTTTTTTCGAATTTACGTTTACAGATCAATATAATTTCTTTAAAGAAGTAACTTAAGAGACGGCTCCACTGAAAGTTTTCAGTTTTTTTGAAAATTATTGGACTCAATTATTATAAAAAATATCAGGGAATTTGATTACTTACACCATTACATGAAAGCCTCAAAATTTTTTTCAATTTTGGTGAAAACTGTTCAAATCATAAGCAAAGACCATGCCTACATGCCAAAGGTTACCTCCAAGCAAAACGTGCGGCATCACATTAGGAAATTAAATTGATTATGATTCGGTTAAGCAGGTTGCTTACCTGGAAAAATTCAATGTTCCAGATTAAGAACGCTTCCTAATAGCAAACGTAAGATTTTTATATTAGCGCCAAAAAACTTTAATGTCAAATTCTCTTTGACAAATTTTGCCTATCTTTAGGCAAATGAACTCAACACTGGATTTATGCTTAAGTTCATTCATAAATGCATTAAGATGTATAATGCACTTCTGTAGCTATAAAAAGAACTTTAAAACTTTTTCCGAAACAAAAACAGACAAAAAAATTACCAATACCCAAGTAAGAGTATTCACAACGTTCATCGACTCAAGTGTAATAATTTCGTCAAGTTAATTCGTGGTAAATTGCGCGCATATCACAGAATTTTTGCACTTTAACACAAGGTTACAGAATACCAAATATTCCATACCACATCCCTATAATTACTGCAAACTAAGTTTCAAAACATAATTTTCCGCAAAAATTGGTTGTTAACTTGGTTTCTTTGATTAATTCATAGCTCACGTAGACTCAAAAGCTTGTTTGTCGAAAATGTAAATGAACGAATGTGAAATTTTGATATTGAAAGAAAAAAATTAATGGAATAGATATTAATTTGAATTGACGTGTAATGAAAATCAGTAAACCAATTTGTAATTGAAAACAATTCACATTTCTGATCTCGTCAGGGAAAAAAGAACGAAAATCTGCAAAATAAACTTGATTTCTATTCTTTTTGATTTTAATATATGTTTTTTTTACTATTTCAAAGGTTTTCGGCAAACTTGTGTTGTCATCACGGATAATTATATTTCTTGGCAAGGAAATGAAGTCTACGTAATTGCATCGCGAGGAAACGATTGAATATCCGCTTTGAGGTGGCGCTTAAATTGTTCAAAAACTGTCGTCAGGTCGTCTGCATTGTAACCCCATTATAACCAACAGCGCGATAAGAACTAGGTGTTGGGTGAACAACCCTCCAGGGAACAGAGACCTGTAACATTGTTCATGTTTTATGAGCATGTAGTTCACTTGTCCCAAGCAGACAAAATAGTTAGCAGACAGGCCAGCAAGCAGACAGATTTCCAAACTACTAACCAGCTAGCGACTTTTGTTATAAACACACTTCTGTACTATTAAGCAATAAAACAGCTTAGTTTTGATTAAATATCTCAACAATAATTTCAATTTGAATAATTTCAGTTTGAATTATTTGAAGTTTATCAAATATTTACATGAATATTTACAAATTATCAGAATCTTTTTCAGCCAATCCAATTGGAGATTCAGCATTCTGGCAGTATGAAATGAACTTTATCTTTTTGCTGGCCTCACACAAAGCTCTATATTTGCCTGACTTTTCTTTCATATAGCATTAACTACATTAGTAGCTTGAGCATGTACCCTTTCAAGTTGAAAAAAAACTCTGGCCGTTTCGAACTTAACACAAATAGCAAAATGTAACAAAATTATTCAAATTTATGCAAGTTGGTAATAGGAGATTGAGGATTTGTAATTTTCGCTGATATGGTCGATTTAAAACAAGGTAAAATTTGCTCCGTTTTGAAAACGTCAATTAAGTCACCAACTATCTTCTCGAAGGAAAGCCAAGCCGCCTATCAATAAAAGACGGCCGAGATTTTTACCCGAGCTATAAATATCAGACAACCTCAAAACAAAAATGTTTTCATTTAAATGAAACGGTTTTCATTTGAAAATATGCAAAATTGGTTTGAAACTAGAGGAGCACCACATTCGAACGATTATGTAAAGAAAGAACGAATGGTTATAAAATATAATCAAATTACTGAAACTCCCCTCTTATTTCTAAATTTTACGGTAACTAAACAGTTACCGTATTAATTTTACTGAATTTATTTTCCAGAGCATTTATTTTGCACATAAAATACGTTCATTCAATTCGAAATTCAAATTTAGAATTTGGAAGAGGCTTGTATAATTGAAAAGACCCAAACTTACTCTGCATTATTCGGGCGACAGCCAACCCCCGGGACCCATTTGCAGTTTACAGCTGCAACACATGCCAACAGAAGAACACTTGGAGTGATACAAATAAAACTCCGATATGTCGTTTTTATCATTTTGAACAAATTGATTTTCCAGAAGTCATTTATGTTAAGTTTAAAGTTGCATCAAGTTACTAGTGCATAGCTCCGAGCGTGTAAGCGCGAGCTATGTTTTCTAGTAGACACATCCACTTAAAACTTTTCGATAGATTATACAGAGCTGATTTAAATTATCGGGAAAAACGAACAATACAAAGCTTTAAAATTCAAATACGTGTGAGTCAAATTGGGTTGATTATGATGTCAAAATAAAATGATGAATAGAAATCTTGTTTAGAATTTTCACGAATTATTTTGGTGCAACTTCATTTGCAAAATTCGGTCCCAAAATTTAACCCTAAAAACGATCATTTTTGACTTTTCTTTATTCCATCAATAATAACGCTATAACTACTGGTTCAATTGCAAAAAAAAATAATAGAAATGTGATACTCTTATGTAGCCCAACAAAATTTAGGACGAGTATAACCTCCAAAAACTAGAGCAAAACATTCAAAAAAAAATGTTAAAGAAAAATTGATATATTATAAAACTAAAATGACATTTTTTAGCTACCAAACGCAAATAAATTTATTTATACCAAATTTAGAAGATTTTCAGAAGCCTTCAAAAAAAACACAAAAAATTCGCAACTCTAACAACAAAACTCTTTTTTTTAAAATTCTTTTGAGCGTGTTGTCACAAAAAATCTGAAAGAAAGCCTAAAATTTTAGCACATTCAACACTTTTAGTAAATAGGCATGAGTTTTTCAAAAAGTTCTAGAAAAAACTAAGCCATGTTTTCCAATTTTTTGCAGAATTTGCTGTGGCACAAGAAAACTTCAAACTAAAATTAATTAAGTAAAACTTAACTTTCAAGGCTTGAATAAAAGTTTCGCGGATTATTCGCTCGAAATTAGACTAAAAATTAAATATTTCATGCCGGTTTTTCTCGAAACAGGACAACTTATTGAAAAATTTCGAATCACGACTGAAAGAATTTTTGTATGATATATCACTCGACCCAGTCCGATGATAATTTGTGTTAGCTGATTTTGCGAGGAAAACAAAAAACACCAGAATACAAAGTTCCTTCCCATCTTTTTCAGTGGCCGGAACCAATAGATTTCTGGAAACTAAGAACTAGCAATCAAAATTAAACTTACAGAACAAAAAGAAAATCCATAACACGATGGGAACTTCAAATTTTATGAAATTTTTATATCTAAGTTCTTTGAAAAACTTTGGAAAAATCTTTTGTGAAATTTTTCATTTTAAGTTTTCTAGAAATATCTCGTTGACTAAAAGAATTTGGTTATTCATATATGGAAACCAAAATCCCAAAACCAGGGGAAACGCCGACAGTATACCAATATTGGGTTGCTAATTTCAAACTTGGTGAATTAAACACGAAATCAAACTGGAAAATCGAAAAAAAATCTTAACAATTGCAAAACACGATATAGTTTAAACGTGAAAAAATTCTTACGTTGAATATGAAAAATTAGTACGCTGAAACATGGGGAGATAGTTGTCGCACGCATTAGTATAGATATAGTATAAAATAATATAGTATAGACAGATAAGAGGTTATTAAGCCCCCTCGCCCTCAAAACACAGACACGCACACACTTTTTTTGCTCGTCGAACGACGCAATATGAGGCCGATAAGCCGATATAAAATAGGCTGAAACCTATCAACCCAAAAAAAAACAAGGCGATGGAAAAAAAGTTGTCATGAAAGTTCTGAAGTACTAGCGTGTAACGCACCTCCGGTGCTGCGAACTTTTAAGAACACTATACAAAACCGCATATATTGGAAAGAGCGTACTCTGACAGCACCCAATTTTAGTGTTGATAATTTCAAATTTTGTGAAGCGTTTTTCTATTTAAGTTTGTTTTATATTCAATTGTTGAAAAACCCATAAATTTTTCACATTTTGGTTCTTTTGAAAAACTTTAAAAATGACTTGAAAAAACATCACTTCTCGGGAACTAAAAAAAATTGAGCAAGCGCATCTAGACGCAAGATTTGCAACTCCTGAGAGTGCTCTTACAGTAACCTACTACAGCGTTGGAAATTTCAAGTTTTGAAAAATCACAAAAAACGTCAATCTCAAAAACTAATAGGACTTGAACAGTCACATTTTAAGGCCAAATCACAACTCATGAGACTAAACTGACAGAGCCTCACTATAGCTATCGAAACTTCAAATTTTGTAAATTTTTTATATCTAAGTTCTTTAAACAACTATAAGAAAGGACATAAAAAACGTCACATCTCGGAAACTAAGAGCGTGTGAGAAGTCGCAATTTGACGCAAGATTTGGAACTTGGACCTCCTAAGAGTACCCTCACAGTGCCCAACTACAAAATTAGGAGTTTCAAATCTTTTGAATTTTTATGATCTTAAGTTTTTAAGTTTTTTGAACAAAAAAATTGAAAAAATCATAAAACACGTCACATCTCGAGAACCACAACGTTTTGAGCAGTCAAATTTGGAGGCAAGATTTGCCGCAACCCTTGAGAGTACTCTGACAGCATCCAATTGCAGGGTTGGGAATCTCAAATTTTGTGCATTACTTAGAAACTTGGGTTATCTGGAAAAAGCCACAAATCGCCTTATCTTGTATACTAAAAGGATTCCGGTATTCATAATTGGAGGTTAAATTCGCAAATCCTGGGTAAACACTCACAACATTCCACTATAAGGCTGCAATTTTCAGACTCGGTTTAATAAACACTGAAATCACCTGGAAAACCGAGGAAAAATCTTAACCAATGCCATATACGATATAGCTTGAACGTGAAAAAATTCTTTCGTTAAACATGCAAAACTAATACGCTGAAAAAACTTACACGTTGAGATAGTGAAGACCGCATTTGCAAATATTATAGACAATTTCTATTAAGCTGTTTAGCATTTTGTTCAATCCACAAATGAGCAAAAAAATGTTTCCATTAGAACAACTCGAAATTAGGCCACTAAGCCGATAAAATATGGACCGAAATCATTTGCACAGAATAAAATTTTAGATTAAAAAAAAACAAAAAAGAAATATATACGATGTCAAGGTGAAAAAAAATACAAAGAAACAGCAGAGGTCAATGAGAACACTAAAAGCAATTATATATTATTAAAAAAACTAAATTCCAAATAAGCCATTTAGTTGGATGCTAAAAACAAAGCCGAAACTAAGACGACTGCATGCATGCTGAAATCTGTGAAGTACTGAGGTGTACTGCATGCATGTTGAAACCTGTGAAAAAAGTCTAGTACCCGATTGCAATACCCTTGCTATCGCAAGGGTAATCACAGTTTAAACAACATTGAGCCACTTGCAACATTAATTAGTTGTTGTTGTTTAGATAAAAAATTTGATTTTTTCGAAAGTGCATTTCAGGACAATGGGACAGAAATCTCTCCATGTAGCCATTTTTATACGAAGTGATTAAAACCAACTCAGAGTGTACACTTGGTTAATTTCAAAAAACATTAAGCTGTAAAAATATTATAAATATATCCAAAAACAGTTGAAATAAGTCAGTGAACTTCAGACGGAGAATAAATGACAAAGTTTTTTGAAATTTTTCAATACTCTAGTCATTTAAAAAAATTGTATGGCTGATTAATAAATTTTTGATAAAACTTAACCATTAGGAGAAAAGTGCATTTCAGGAAAATGGTACAGAAATCTCTTTACATGTAGCTATTGTTATAAGAAGCGATTAAAACCGACTGCGAGTGTATATTTGGTTAATTCTAAAACCATTAAGCTGTGAAAATATTGTAAATATATCCAACAAACAGTTGAAATAAGTCAGTGAACTTAAGAAGACAGAGGATAAATGACAAAGGTTTTCAAACGTTTTCAATATTCCAGTTATTAAAAAAAAATTTAATGGCTGATTAATAAGTTTTTGATTAAAGTTAATCAATAGGAGAAAAGATGAACAATTGCTTTATTTCGGCGGACAATCTCGAAAGAACATCAAACTATCGAAGCAAAGTCAATCTTGCTTTTTTGCGCCATTTACACATGCGTTATTGGAGAAAGCATTTTGCTTTTCTTTGAGCAGATAAATTTGAAACAAACTTTACTCAAGTTTTAAAATCAAACCGGTAAAAAACAGAAAAACTGCATTTGTTCTAAGCTCCTAATAAGTTAACAAAATTCATTTTTCAGTGTGTTCAAATTGGTGTGTTCACCGATGAAATTAACGTCACATCTCGGAAGCTAAGAGCGTGTGAGAAGTCGCAATTTGACACAAGATTTGGAACTTGGACCTCCTAAGAGTACCCTCACAGTGCCCAACTACAAAATTAGGAGTTTCAAATCTTTCGAATTTTTATGATCTTAAGTTTCTAAGTTTTCTGAACAAAAAAATTGAAAAAATCATAAAACACGTCACATCTCGAGAACCACAACGTTTTGAGCAGTCAAATTTGGAGGCAAGATTTGCCGCAACCCTTGAGAGTACTCTGACAGCATCCAATTGCAGGGTTGGGAATCTCAAATTTTGTGCATTACTTAGAAACTTGGGTTTTCTGGAAAAAGCCACAAATCGCCTTATCTTGTATACTAAAAGAATTCCGGTATTCATAATTGGAGGTTAAATTCGCAAATCCTGGGTAAACACTCACAACATTCCACTATAAGGCTGCAATTTTTAGATTCGGTTTAATAAATACTGAAATCACCTGGAAAACCGAGGAAAAATCTTAACCAATGCCATAAACGATATAGCTTGAACGTGAAAAAATTCTTTCGTTAAACATGCAAAACTAATACGCTGAAAAAACTTACACGTTGAGATAGTGAAGACCGCATTTGCAAATATTATAGACAATTTCTATTAAGCTGTTTAGCATTTTGTTCAATCCACAAATGAGCAAAAAAAATGTTTCCATTAGAACAACTCGAAATTAGGCCACTAAGCCGATAAAATATGGACCGAAATCATTTGCACAGAATAAAATTTTAGATAAAAAAAAAACAAAAAAGAAATATATACGATATCAAGGTGAAAAAAAATACAAAGAAACAGCAGAGGTAAATGAGAACACTAAAAGCAATTATATATTATTAAAAAAACTAAATTCCAAATAAGCCATTTAGTTGGATGGTAAAAACAAAGCGGAAACTAAGACGACTGCATGCATGCTGAAATCTGTGAAGTACTGAGGTGTACTGCATGCATGCTGAAACCTGTGAAAAAAGTCTAGTACCCGATTGCAATACCCTTGCTATCGCAAGGGTAATCACATTTTAAACAACATTGAGCCACTTGCAACATTAATTAGTTGTTGTTTAGATAAAAAATTTGATTTTGTCGAAAGTGCATTTCAGGACAATGGGACAGAAATCTCTCCATGTAGCCATTTTTATACGAAGTGATTAAAACCAACTCAGAGTGTATATTTGGTTAATTTCAAAAAACATTAAGCTGTAAAAATATTATAAATATATCCAAAAACAGTTGAAATAAGTCAGTGAACTTCAGACGGAGAATAAATGACAAAGTTTTTCGAAATTTTTCAATACTCTAGTCATTTAAAAAAATTGTATGGCTGATTAATAAATTTTTGATAAAACTTAACCATTAGGAGAAAAGTGCATTTCAGGAAAATGGTACAGAACTCTCTTTACATGTAGCTATTTTTATAAGAAGCGATTAAAACCGACTCCGAGTGTATATTTGGTTATTTCTAAAACCATTAAGCTGTGAAAATATTGTAAATATATCCAACAAACAGTTGAAATAAGTCAGTGAACTTAAGAAGACGGAGGATAAATGACAAAGGTTTTCAATATTCCAGTTATTAAAAAAAATTTAATGGCTGATTAATAAGTTTTTGATAAAAGTTAATCAATAGGAGAAAAGATGAACAATTGCTTTATTTCGGCGGACAATCTCGAAAGAACATCAAACTATCGAAGCAAAGTCAATCTTGCTTTTTTGCGCCATTTACACATGCGTTATTGGAGAAAGCATTTTGCTTTTCTTTGAGCAGATAAATTTGAAACAAACTTTCATCAAGTTTTAAAATCAAACCGGTAAAAAACAGAAAAACTGCATTTGTTCTAAGCTCCTAATAAGTTAACAAAATTCATTTTTCAGTGTGTTCAAATTGGTGTGTTCACCGATGAAATTAACGTTTATCAAAAGTTAATTTAAGGACGTTGGAAGTTTTTGCAACCTGAAACAACTTTCACCGAAAAACGCTTTCATTATCGTAAACCGGTACCCGACCGAATGCTCGACATTCAATTCTAACGCAGAAAAAAAGCGGAAAAAGAAGTTCTTTACGGGAAAGCAAATATTTATATTTTGAAAGATACTACAACTTTTCATCCAGAGCTGCACAACCAAGCGGTTTTTTCTTTCGTTAACAAAACTGTTATAGCAGTCGATATCATTATAGCTGAATTCAAAGAATAACTCAACTCACAAACATTCAAATACAAACACTTCTAACAAAAATTTATCATTTAAGTTTAATCCTCAATCATTTTCAAATCAATTTAGTAACTTCACTAACTAATTCAAACAACCTCAGAGATACGAAGCTTAAATGAGAACCACGGAATCTAACGAAGAACAAATAGCAATTCAATTTAGGCTATATCATGCAATTCAGAACACAATCTTTGACTTTTTGGGCCGCGATTTTGAAAAAAAAAAGCAGTTTTATGTGAACATTCGGCTCATAAATCGATTCTATGATTTTCTTTGTCAATTTTCTGAGACATTATTGCACTCAACACAAACTCATTCGAACGACAACAAGACATCAAATCTTTTTTCATTTTCGAAGCATCCTTTTCTGTTGTAACCACAAAAGTGTTGTCGTCCACAGTCGCTGGCATTCTCGGCAACACCGTGCCACCGGCACTCTCGATAATGTCTTTCATTTCTGCTGGCGGAGGAAGTACAGATGGCGTGACGTGGATTCGAACCCCCCTCAAGACTCCTTTGTGCTCACGCGCTTCGTCTATGGATGCAGCCAGATCGATACTGTATTTTTTCTCGTTTTCTCTGTCTTTCAAAATGTAACCAGTAGCATCTGAAAATGCATAGAAAAGTTATGAATAACTGCTATCTAACAGCTGCATCAAAAATATTTTTTTTTGCTTTGGTAGAACGAATTTGTTCCAGCGGATCAACTATACAGGTTCAGAGAATTTCAATTTCAATTAAGGACCTATCCTTTTTCATTATTTTTGAAGTCAGAAGCTTCAAACGTTTCGTTGATTAGAATTTTTACAGTTTAAATTAAAAAACATGTCGGTCATCAATACAAAAAGCAAGCGACATTAACTGACTGACCATGGGTTTTATTGGAAGGTGCGCCAGATGCATCATTTTAATCCATTTTTTTTATCTCATTTTCGATACCCCGAGCGATACCCAGAGGAAAATAATAAAGTGCTAGTCATGGTGCCAACTAAAAAATTAAAAATTTTTCCTTTTCTTTCGATTTTAGAATGATCATTTGAATTCCCCAGAGCAAAAAAAAACATGAGACTAAACACTAACCAATATATGTCTTTTCTTTTCAACAACACTCAACATCAGATACATGATAAGTAACAGCGACTTTTTGCCTTTTAAAAACAGTTTTATTTACTGTTTAATTTTCTACACGGTGTTCGGTACATATGATAAATGATATTTTAGTAATTCAAAATGGCATTGAACAACTAACCGACAACGGCGTGAGCAGTGACGCATGCCTTGACCCAATCCACTCCCACAATGCTGGCTGCTCTAGCCAGGGCGCAGAGGAACTTGCGGGTGCGTCTGATCTTGTCAGTGACCAGGATTTGACACTTGCTCACATCGTCTCCCAGGTGCACACTTCCAGCACCACATGCACTCTTCAGTTGCTGAACATCAAACAAATCACTTATTCAAAATACAACAGAAGTCAATGTTGAAATTAGACAAATCGAAGTAGTTTGATTTAGTTATTCTTTTTGGCCCGTTTAGTGCAATTGCATAACACCCAAATCTAAACCTGCCAAAAAGGAATGGTGTTTAAGTGGCTAACTCTCCGCTTATCTGTCAAAAGGTCTGTGGTTCGAGACCCATCAAGTCCAGAATTCTCAAAATCTGAGCAAACGTTCCTAAGCAGTGGCACAACAGAAGTTAGCCACAAAGAGCTGAATAGCTCGTATGGTGCTTTTTTCTTAAGTAGAAGAGTGATTTTCCTTATCTTGAACAATCCAACATATACATCCAAACTATAAATTTGCAAAAATTTAACTTAGCATAAATTGAGAATTAAATTGAAAAGAACTCTATAATGAAATTATTATAAGGCATCGACAAAAACATGAACCAACTCAGACATTAACTAACATTAATTTATTTTTTTAAAAATTTTGAGCACCACAGGCCAAGCTACACTTCGCAAATAAAGCTAGAAAACTTCAAAAAAGGAGCTAAGGAAAAGAAGGTAAAATAGGCCTTAAAATGAAACTTTAACTATGTTGCCAGAATCGAACCTCCGACCTAGAGATTAGGAGTCTCGCGTCCTGGCATCTGCGGTATTGTCTCCGGCTATAACACTAGCCCCCAATCTATGCAGCAAAAAATCCATGCCACTTAATAAGCACATTTGTATGCGAGTTTCGTTGGAAAAAGTTTCGCAATATACTACACTAAGCTCGCTAGCGTAATAACGAGCAGAAGATCAGGAAATTTTTAGATCCAATTTTTCTTGTTAATTTCTTGCTAGGGAGCGATGTTTCGTTTTTTTGCTCGTGGAAATAACGTTTTTTTTTAGCAGTTGAGATTTACCAAATGCTGGCTTCAAGTTTCAGTGCACTTTACTGCTTCTAAACACGGAACCGCATAGAAATATATTCAAAAACTGGTCTAAAAAAGAGATTGAAGGTATCAAAAAATGATATCAAGTTAGAGTTCTTTTTTCAGGAATCTTTCACGATAAAGATTTTTTGCGTGCACAAAAGCAAAGCTGCACTTAACAAACACAATTAAATACAACTAAAAAGAACTTTAAACTCACACACGCAAATCGCGCATCCAACGCGCAATAAAAGGCCACTTAGTTGACACAAAATACATCATAAACCGTTAAAGCCGCATAAATCGTAAAAACTGAAATAACAATTTGAAGTTGGTAAATTTATAGCCATCAAATTTTGGATAATAACGGTATTTAAAAAAGGCAACAAAGCTCAAAATAACTCTGCTGGTTGACGAAGTACAGATTTGCAGATGAGCTTCATTCCACCTATGTACCAAACCACTTTTGTAATTAATGAGCGTAATTATTCTTCCTTTCAGCAAATGAAAAACTCAACAAACTTAAATTCAAACAGCTAAAAATCAAGTACGAACGTGAACAGTTTTCTTAAAAAACCATAGCCAACAGATGGTTGGAAACGTATAAAAGCGCTAAATCAAACCAAAAAAAATGGTTTAATTCTTTTGAGAAGATTTGAATTTTTGGATAAAAATTATACCGAAGTTAAAGCTCTATGAATTTCAAAAACAAAAAAAAAACACTTCTGAAGAACCACTTTTTCTGAAATTTATCTCATTCAGAAAAAACTGACTCAACAAGTTAATTAGATTCCGCTGAGAATTCAGAAAATGAAAATCCATTTTTGAAAATTGCAGTCACTAACGTGGATATGAACTAATTAAAAAAAAGTCAAACCGCTAAAAATCAATTTTGATTGTAAAAAAAAACGGAAGACAATTTTCCCATAAAAACAAAAACGATAAGATCCTATATACCTGACATTTATTTCTTTCATTTACACTTAAAAACAAAAAAAGAACATAGCCTGACATACAGCTGACAATTAATTCAAAAACGGATAAACTACTGAATATTGAAGAGAAATCGAGAGACAAACTAAATTTGAACGTGAAAACCTTTGGATACATTTTCCTTAAAAATAATAGCTCTGAACATGGAAAAGTCAATGAGCTCATAAAACCAAAATCTACATATGAATTTTGAAGCATTTTACAAAACAGTTTACAGATCTTTGAATTTCAAAGATATTTATTGGTGATTGGCAAACTTTTGATAAACTTGGACGATTTGATAACAATGCATCACTAGGTAAATTTATTCTTCCGCTAAAAAATCAAAAAAATGAAAATCCAATTTTGAAAATTAACTCGACCCAATTGAATTTATGTTATTAAAGAGAGTGATTTGCCTTCCTTAGGCCAATTAAAAGAAAACATGACCTCAATAAACTCGAATTTCAAAGAAAAATCTGCGCTAGAAACTAGTCGATTTCAAGAATGATTTAAGACAGGCATCTTTTTGATTAAAAAAAACCCACATTAAGAAAATTACACATACATTTTTATCCCGCTGAGAAATCTGAAATAAGCCAACAGACAGAAAGAAAAGATTAATGAATGCAAGAAAATAAAAAGAAACAGACTTGGTTTGTTAAAAATTCAAATTTCGAATTTTTAAGAAAAAATATATACCCCTAAAGCTCTTCAAATTTCAAAAACAATTTAGGATAGGTGCTTTTTTGTCAAAAGTCGAACTACAAAATCAAATTTGAGCGTGATCAAACATTAAGACTTCTGCTGAAAAAAATCATCCCGACCTATATAATATATTACGACCTATTTGGCACTTAAAAATCACAAAACCTAAATGACAAATTTGAACATCTACAGTGGTTTACTGTCGTTCTAACTATTATGACTATTTAAACAAAACTTATATACATAGCCAACTGACAGTTGGAAAAGAGAAATGAACGCAAGAAAAAAAATTGACTTTAATGAAAAAATCTCAACTTTCAATTTCAAAGAAACAAATAGATGCCTTTTGAGCTCTTTGAGTTTCTAGAATAATTTATGATTGGCGTTTTTTTTATTACATGAACCCAACTAGAGAAAACTGGACTAATAGGTAAAGTTTTTATTCCGCAGGAAATCTAAAAATTAAATACCACATTCAAAACTAGAAATCGTTCACGTTTTTCGCGCCATTTCCACATTCGTATTTGGAGAGTGCTATTTACGTCACTTTCAGCAGATGAATTTCAATTGAACTCAAAAAAAGCATATATATCTAATTGCATTCATAAATGCATTAATATGTATGAATGCACATATGTAGTTATTAGAGCATTATAATACTGTTTCCTGTAAAAAAAAGAAAAAAACCAGCAAGACCTTTTTAAGAGTCTCCATACGTTTATTACTCTTAAAAAAGAAATCCAATCTAAGTGAGAAAAGTACCTTGCTGTATTTGTTGAGATCCTTGTCCTGTATGCCAGTGAACATCACATATGAAGACGACTGACCCCCACCTAAAACACGCAATCCTTTAAAGACAACTCTTTTTCAATCAGTTAACTGAAGCACCCCCCACACATAAAAAAGCTCACCAGAGTAGTATTTTTGTGCACAGAAGCGAAGTGGAGCTTGGCACCACTTGTGATACAGCAAAATGCATCATGGCGCAATGGCCGACAGAAAGAGATGAAAACCATTAGATCAGAAAAGTAATTGCCAAAAATGTCCAGAAAAATACGAACCCGATAATGGTTGGGCAGACATCCGTTGTAACAAAAAACATTACGAGATTTAGAATTAAAACATGCATACACCGGCAATTTTTTTCAACATTCCAAGGACACAAAATGAGGTTAATAGTCGATTGTTATAATCCGAAACCATATTATTTCAGCGAAATAAAATTAATCCAGGAAGGATATGAACTGAAGGTGATATGTAACAATAGGTGGTAATTTTAATTATAGCGCATGTATTAAATTTGAGAACTATAATGCATAATATAATCATTTCACTTTCAATCAATTGTTCATGCTGCTAAGATAGTTTTTGTAAATACAATACTCTGCTAGATAAAATTTTATTCAAAAACTCAAAATGTACTCTTCTTTTCCTTGGCTTCGAATAATTTGGCTTTCGAAGAAAAAAATCAAAGGTCAAACCGAGAAAAAATAAATTTGGGCCTGAATAATTTTCCTGAAAAACAACACAAAAAACCATAACAACAAATATAAGAGTCCGAACTTGGGCAGACATCCGACAATACTTGGGAGAATGGGAGAAACAAGCTCTGAAGAAACAATTTTTTTTAATTCTCGCTCACTACGGTGTTATTACAATACAAAAAACATGAAATCACTCACTTGATCTGGATCTCTTCGGCGAGTCGCAATTGTGCTCGCTGGTCACTGACGAACTTGAACTGGTCTCAAGAAGCCGTTTATTCGAACCAGTCTTATCCTTCTTCTTTGTGTCTCCAGCTACAACAGCAGTTGCCATTTTAGTTTTGCTTCTATCTTCTTTTCCTCCTTTCGACTTCATTAACTTTTCTTCCTCGTCGGAATCGTTCTTATTTGCAGTGTCTAATTTCGATTTACTCGACTTGGCATTTTTTCTCGGCTTATTGACCGCTCCCTCTAATTCATCTGCGCTCTGTTTGCCTTTCGAGGAGCTCTCAGCGGTGACTTTGGATTTCTTCGATTTGCTAATTGAATTAGAGTCATTTGCTAAGTTAAGTTGCCTCTTGCCTTTGCGCGACGATTCTGAAAAAAAATTCATTATGGCCCCTAAATTTCTTAGCTGTTCATTTAGGCGGTTGCTCGGGTTGGTGATAAAGACGAAATCGTAAACTGAATTAGGAATTATCAGCCATGACGGAATAAACATTAAGTCTCAATTGACAAAATTCCCAAATGCATAAGAAAGAAAAGTTTTCCAAATGTCATAAAAATTCCAAGTTTCGATGATAATTTTTATGCGAGACTCTTTTTGAAGAAGTTGAGAAAGGCAGTTGAACTAACAATTCAATTGTGGATTGACCTTTAATCATGAAACAGTTTTCAGAATTCTGCTCAAAAACATGAAATTATCTTAAAAACATTTTTCAGAAATCTTATCAAAAACATAAGGTTTAGATTTTCTTTTATGTCATTCGGGAATTATTCCGTTAGGGTAGTCACCCGGAATAAAAACAGTATAATTATTAAAACAGAGAGCAAAAGACGGCGCTTCACAACCTTTGCGAAACATTGCAAATATAGCATGGCAAGCTAGCCTAGAGAAAAACAATGCGAAAATAACTCAGCCTAAAAAATGATTTGAAAAAAATTAGTCGGACAAAAGCTCGACAATTAACAATGTTGAACAGTATTGAACTTGACCCGCCAGTGTTAAATTTCTGAAATGCCAGTATTGAAATAACATCAAAAAATGTATGAAATGTTAACTAAACCGAAAACTAGCTAAGTAGACACCCGTTGACCCGGGTGTCTACTTAGCTAGTTTTCGGTTTAGTTAACATTTCATATATATCTTTTTCATGATAAACTTGAGTCAAAAAGTTGAGAAACTCGTAGTTTTCAAACTTCGCATACATCCAGCACACAAGCGAATAAAAAATTTTGATATCACTCTTCAAACGACGCAATACGAGAGGATTAAGCCAATATAAGATCAATCGGAACGTTTTTAGCCGAAACATTTTAAGTTAGAGAAACTAAAATAAAAAAATAAGAATTCGGAGTTGCATTGCAACCAATTAAAACATTTCGACAGGGTCGAAGTGTCACTTCGCAAACACAAGCGAGAAAACGACAAAAATTCACGAGGTCAAAAATGTCAAAAAACAGCTAACATAACCAACAGATAGTTTGAAAAAAGTCAATGAACGTAAGTAAATAGAAAATAAACTGAGATGTTCTTTTAATAAAAAAATCAGGCCTTACAGCTCTATAAATTTATGCCTTAAAGCTCAAACATTTCAGAGTTGGCTCACAGACAATAAAAAAAAATCAACAGAGCTCAAGCTGCACTTCGCAAACACAACCGAGAAAACGACAAAATCATTAGGTGAAACATGTCAAAAAAAAACAACTAAAATAGCCAACAGACACATGGAAAAGAGTCACTGAACAGAAAAAATACTGAATTGATTTTTTTAAAAATGTATGGCCTTAAAGCTCTATGAATTTCAAGAGCAATTTTTGATGGGAATTTTTTTGATGAAATTAACTCAATTTGAGAAAACTAGAACGTTAGGTAGTGTTTTTGTTCTGCTGGAAAATCTAGAAATTAAATTCCACTTCGACACTAGAAATTGATCACGTTCTTTGTGCCATTTCATGTTTTGTAATTGGAGAGCGAATTTTGCCTACCTTTTAGCATATGAACTTGAATTGAACTGAAAAATAGCACATATACCAAAGGAAATTCATATATGCATTAACATTTATGAATGCCCTTTCTGCAGCTATAAGAAGATTTTAAGGCTTTTCTTTAAAAACAAACGAACAAAAAATCATCAAGACCTATTTAAGAGTATGAATTACATTAATTGATTTTTAATAAGCAAATAAAAGGTAACAATAGTCCTTAGGTAATAAAACTTTTGTTTTTTGTCGGATTCGAACCTCCGTCCTCGGATCTGCGCCACTAGCTACAGATGCAAAAAAATTGCTAATGCTATGCAGTAACTGCCACCAAATTAAAACAAAACTAGTGCTAGGTGCGACATTGAACGAAATACTTATTCATTAAACGTCATTCCAACTGTGCCATCACCAAATAAGCAATGAGTAGATGAAACTTCCAATGCCACAGATCGCGATTATAGCAAAAGTGCTACCAAATAAGCACTTTTGTTTGCGAGTTTGATTGCAAAGTAGACTCATACTATTACACTACGCTCGTTAGCTCGCTTGTGTGCATAAAATGTGACAATATAATGAACAAACGCTGAAAATATATCTATTGGCCAGATATCCCAGCTACTTGCCCAAAATTATTCAAAGATTTTCTTAAGCAAGTTTTTAACTTGAAAAAAGTCTATGTTCCGATGTGCTAACGCTTCCTAGGCATGAGCGAAAAATCTGCCAATTTTGGATGATTTAGAAATTGACCAAACTAGCAATTTCTTGGAAAAGATAATTGTTTACATATCATATAAAGTCACTTAGTCTTTTTGGCACAATGTTGACGAGTGAGCTTTATTGTATATTTACTATCTTTTTTTAAAGCAAGAGCTCCAAAATTATGGCGTAAGAATGGCGTAAAATAAAGACTGAAATATTGCCCTCGGAGCGAGATTGACAATTCGACATTCAATACTGTCTCCTGAACTTCGTTTTTTTTGTGAGACAAACAGAGACCAATATTCAAAAGATTAAGCTCGCAAATCAATCAATTTTGGGCAGTTTGAAGAATACCAAGTAGCAGCCACGCTGCCTACAGACCAACCCGGAGGGAGTCTTCCGCTTTGCACATCTCACAGGACGCCTTGCGGAGTCCCCCGATCAGTGAAAGGCTCCAAACACACACACACACACACACACACAGGGGCGGATCTAGGATTTTCTCGAGGGGGGGGGGGGCGGATTTTCAAAAAATTTTCCAAAATTTTGACGACCTTTTTTTTTTTTTAGGTCGACCAAATTGATTTTTCGAGCTCTCCCAAAGCACTGTTTTGGCCCTACTTTGGCTAAATTTTCTGCGCCGCAGGCAAATTTTTGAAAAAACAGTCAAAAAAGCGTTTTTTTTGGCGCGCGCTCCCCCTCAAAATTAGTATATATTGGCGCCAAAGGCGCCTTTAGAAAAATTTTAGGGTCGGTCGGCCAAAAATGGATTTCTGAAAAAGTATCAAAGGGGGGACCCTTTGGGTCGGCAGGGGGTCGAATCCCTGAGGGGGGGGGGGGGCGTCCGCCCCCCCCCCCCGCCCCCCTAAATCCGCCCCTGCACACACACACACACACAGTAGCCACGCCCCTCCCCCCCCCCAAGATAATACTTACTGGGCGAGTATATCTCTAGTGTAGAAACGACTTTGCTAGGAGAGTTTCTCACGAGTCTCCGACTTGAAGTCAAACTTGGTTCTGCTTCCTCCGCTTCTGAAAGTATCATTTGGACACAACAGTTCAGATTTCCGATACTTTTATATGGAAAATCTGTCCAAAAGGAGATACTAAATTTTTAGGGCTTGGGAATCTGCCATTTGCTATGAAACATTTGCTTATGAGGAAAAATTATTACGTTTGAACCCTTTGATTATGAGAAAAAAATAAACCATTTGAACCCTTGAATTATGAGAAAAAATATCCCATTTGTTAATTTTTTTGCCTTGCTCTCGACAAACAACAAGCCTAAATTTGTTGTTTCACATAAAAAAAATTCAAAAAAACGACATTTCAAATTCAGTTTTAAAACATTAATTTAAATTTGTTTTAATTAGTTTATAGCGACGTTAAGCGCAATTTCGATAAGCTAATATAATTAGTTCAAAAAAATAGCAACGAACGATTTAAATAATTTCTAATTCCTTCTAACCTGCTTTGACTGCTTTTTTCGACACAGCAACGTTGCTAGACTTCGTATCTCTAGCCCTTCCGCGCACAACACGTCTAGTAGTCTTCACACCAATTTCCAAAACTTCACAATCTTCATCTTGCCCTTGTTCTAATTCACTGGTATTCGGTTCCTGTTTCACCACAAGTCCCCCGGGATTCTTTCGCGGTTGAATTTTTTCCCGACTACGAGAAGGAATATTCGAGATACGTGAGCTATCATCCTTCTCATTATCATACTGAATGTCATTTTCTAAGTCATTTTCAATAATCTCGTTTCGACCAGACGTTTCATCAGCGTTAAGAGCTTCGGTTCGAATATCTTCACAGCTATTCACGTCTTGGTCACTTTTTTGAACTATTAGCTCAGATTCATCTACATCTTCTGACACCTTCGGTTGTTTTCCTTTCGTCTTCCGAGACCGTTTCGGTTTGATTTCCGGCTTACTAGTTTCATTTTCATGAACATTTTTCGACTCAATTGAGTTTTTACTGGCCTTTGCCGAGTTGAATTGATCGCTTTTTGTTGATTCTTTTTCTTTCTCCAGTTGATCCGAATTCAGATCAGCTTCTTTCTCTTGAATGTCATTTTTCTCTTGTAATTGTAATTCAACGTTAGACATCTTGCCTTTTTGTTTACCTTTTCCTATAACTTTTTGTTTCGTTTCCTCGTCCTTCGTTTTCAGAACTTCATCTTCAGTATTATCTAAATCTCCATCCAAATCACTTTTAGCAACAGACATTTTAGTTTTTCTGCTACTTACAGCTGCTTTTCTTCTGCTAGCGCGTACACTAGTCGTATCGCTCGTTTTGTTAATTTTATCTTCTGAATTTGGTTTAGACAACTCACTTTCATTCGAGCTGTTTTCACTAGCTTCAATTGTAGAAGCGTTTCTATTCGTTTTGCGAGTGCCTCGCAACGATCGATTGGTTTGGCGCAATGAAATCGTGGATTTAGCGCGTTCTTCAGGCACTGAAACTTTGGCGTTTTTCTTTTTGCTGGATGACATTGTTCCTTTTTGACTTTTGATCTCCTTTTCAGTTGATTGGCTTTTAAATTCATCCTTTATTTCGTCTTTATCCAACTTTATGTTTTTGGTCTCATTTTCAGTTTTAACAGCCTCTGTGAAGTTAGGTTTTTCTTCATCATTAGAGGCATCATTTGCGTTTGATTTGGGGTTGATGCCGATTCTAGTGCTGCTCGCAGATGGCATCGACAGCTCTTGACTGAGCAAAATATCTGCAACAAATGCCACTTAAAAACAGTTTTTACACAGAAGGAACTTCGCAACCACCAGCGAAAAACGGCGAAAAAAGGGGTCAAAACGGAAAGAAAAGAGTTAACTAATAGACATTTAGCTTTGTGTCGGAATAGAACACCCGAGATGAAAATTAAGAATCAAACATCTGCTCATCAATAAACCAGATTTGTGGTGGGACGCCACCTCCAGCCCCTTCACCGCTCAAAAAGTTTCCCTCTGATACTATTTCGCCACTTCTATTTCAACCGACTATCCCTTATGTTTTTTAGAAGGATCTTTGCCCCCGATGTAAATTAACTTTGAAAAGGATTCATCGCGCGCAAAAAAAAACATTTTTTAACAAAACTTTTCGAAAACGCTCAGAACTGCTTGCCTTTTTCTCTGAACAAATCAGAAAATTGTGATGTCTTTGTAGTGTTTTGTGAGAGCTCGGAAAATTAATTTGTTCGATATCTTTACAACCATGAATTCTTTATTTATTTACCAACTGATGTAAGTCTCATCCAATCCTTTTCACAAAAAGAATGAGGCTTCTGTGATGCTCTTTTAACATTTCTTTTCTCCTTCCATTCTCATAAATCATCAATGAGGTCGACCTACCTTCTGCTTTGTTGTTCTTTTTGGCAACTTTTACCGCCTTCTTTCCCGCTCCTTTTCCCCTCCCGGTCAATTTAGCCTTGTCTGCTATCTCCTCAAATTCATTGCTCTTCTCTGCCTTTGCGACCTTCAATGAACATTGATTTGATAAAAAAATTTACTCGATTATTAATTCAAAAAAAAGAACAGATTATTGTCTTGACCACAAAAAGTTTGTGTTTTGTCTGACGTAGGTGGTTTTTCCTACGCATTGTGACTAGCTCTAAGAAAGCTTGCAAGAGGCCAAGTGTGGCACATCATATATTGGTCATGATTCGAATTCCAAAAATATAGCCAACGAACAGTTAAAAAAGTGACCATTAACTGGAAAAATCGATTGACTTAATTTAAAAAAACTTTCGAGTTTTGGAAAAATATACCATTTTGAAGCATGTGTATTTTAAGAATCAAATCATTCACTTTTTTCGGGCCTTTTTCATTTTCAAAACTAACGAGCGCAATTCTTCCTCCTTTTTAGCAAATGAATTTGATCTGAACAAGAACTCGAAGTTCACGCGAAAAAAAATAGAGTTTGAACAATTTATGAATTTTTAGTGAATAACGAAAAAATTAACGCGGCGTATGAGTTTCTTCATCACGGTGTCCAGTAAATAAGACGACAGCTGTAAAGACAAAAAAGACTTCTGGTGGGACTAAGACGATGCTACACGCAAATTCTACTCTCTATTTCTGAAAAATATAACTCGTATTATTTCGAACAGTTGAATTTACGTTTTTAACTCTCATTTGCAGTCTAAATGTCATATCGTCTTATTTACCTTGCACCCTTCATTGCGTCCATAGTACTTAAAAGTTCAAAACATCACCAACAGACAGTTGGCAAGGAGCCAACAAACTAAGAAAACAGAAACTTTTGACTTCACTTTTGAAATAATTTCCAATTTCAGAGAAAAAATATATGGCCTTAAAGCTCTTGAAAATTATGGAACAACTTATGATTAGGACTTTTAAAAAATTAACCCAATTTGAGACACAGAGCGAAGTTGCACTTCGCATACACAAGCAAAAATATTACCGCTAACATTACTGGGAAAAACTGAATGAGTAAAAAATTTGAGTCTACATAATTGCTAAGTGACGCAAGCCAATTACGACGCATTAGCAGTACCAGTCAATTTGAAGAAAAAAAAAGATATTTACCAGCTAACATGCCTCAATTTATAGAGCGAACGCATTTTAACTAGTATACGAAAAGCAATAATTAAAAACATCAAATTGAGCCTTGGTTGTTTCTAGTCTCTCTCCCTACCTCAACGCGACAGATCCATGATGCCTTGAAACTAAAGTGCTATTTGTAATAAAATAATAGCTGGATCAAAATGAACGCTTTCAAAATGAACTCATTTTGTTGCAACTATTGCATCGCAACAACATTTGCGACTTTGAAGTGTCTTTTTTCCAACCTAAGTCGCAAATATTGTTGCGATGCAATTGTTGCGACAAAACAAGTTCATTTTGAAAGTGTTCATTTTGATCCAGCTATTAAGTGCAGCCAATGCTAAAGATATTAACATGACTATTATAGCACTTTAACTTCATACTAAAACGCAAGCTATGCTTGTGTAAAAACTGGATCAATAGTGAAAATTTTTATTTCGCAGGGAAATCTGATATTTAAATTCCACTTTCGAAGTCAGAAGTCAATCACGTTTTTTTGCGACCTTTACACTTTTGCTGTTCAATAGTGACATTTTACTTTCTATTAAAAAAATGAACTAACTTCAAAAGATATCAAAAGTCAAACCGCGATAACGTAAAATTTAGCCTGAACAAATTTTAGACTTCAGGGGAAAAAAACAAAAAAAAAACACCGCGACCTATATAAGAGTCTAACTACGTTCATTGACACTTGAAAACGTTTAAGTAAAAAAACAAGCTCGGTACATTTCATTTCCAAACTCAATGAGACGAACTTTGATTGGAGGCTGACCTCCTATAAATTTTTTCTGATATAATTGTATCGTTACTTTTGCCATTTTAACCTTTCGTTCTTGCCTTTTTGAAATAAAATTTAGTCACTCTGTAGTAAATTTTGTTTTCAACAAAAATAATGGAAAAAAATCTGAGGAAAAACAAAAACATAGTCAACAAACAGCTGAAACGAGTCAATGAACGCAAGAAAACAGAAAAATTATTGACTTGGTTGTTGAAAAAACATCAACTTTCGAATTAAAAAAAATAATTGATGCCCTTAAAACTCTATGTACTTCTAAAACAATTTACGACCGGCAATTTTTTGCTAAAATGCACCCAATTTGAGAAAACTGGATCAATCTGTAAAAAATTTATTTCGCCGATTAACCGTGTAATTGAATTCCACTTTGGAAACTAGAAGTCGATCACGTTTTTTGTAACCTTTACATTTTTACCGTTCGATAGTGGAAATTTACTTCCTTTAAACAAAGGAAATGAAAATAAAAAGTAATCAAAAGTCAAGCCGCAAAAGTGCACATTTTGAAAAAACCATCGCGATCTATATTAAGAGTCTGAACTACGTTCATTGACTCTTAAAATAATTGGTTTAATATATTTAAAAAGAATAACTCAAAAAGCCAACTAAGGATTTTCGTTTTTCCAAAATCTGACCTTGATCTTTGAAAGCGTGTCTATTGCACTGAGGTCATATTTTAAGGCTGCCAATGGATCGACTGTGTCGTGAGCGTCATCATCATAAGTGGCCGGTATTTCCTCGCAACCAGTGGCATCCTTAAACGAACCAATTGTCAGTATTTCGGTGATAAATCAGTCCCCAAAGGATACGAATTTTCTCAAAAATCTTCTTATGAATAATAAAATGAAAGCTGCAATTCTTTTTTTCTTCAGAAATACCACATACTGATCTATGCTCTACCCGACTACTTCTAACAAAAACTGCTTTGTTTCTCAGACGCATAAAAAAATGAATCTATCCGCGATTTCAATAATCTACTTATTTGCTTACTCAAAGTGCTGTGCTCTGCTAGTTTTTCAAAAAGATAGCTTTTTCGAAAAGCGATTAAAACGGCAATTTTTTTTGTAATAAACGCATGATTGATGTGAATTTCCAAAGAGCAGAACAAGCAGAACTTTTTCTATGAAGCAGCAGAATTTGCTCTATAAGGGCCCGGTGAAAACCCCCTAGTTCGTACGCAAAAAGCAGCATGTTTTTTAAGATTTGTTTACGCTCCGCGTTAAAAAAAAAGAATCGAAACGACACAACAGGATCCATGGTTCCTTTCTTTGATCTTCATGTTCTCTATCATATGCAGAATTGGCTCTAAGGCCGCATTCATGTAATATACTCCAATTTAAGCAACTGACCTTGTAAAGCTGCTTGTTGGATCTCTTTTCTTTCAGTTGAGCTGCTCGGTTCTTCACTAAAACATCAAAAAAAATCAATTTTAAAGTACAGCAAAAACTGGGAGTTTTATTAACGTTATTTGTAAACCATTTTAGGAACGAACTACTTTCGGCATTAGTCAAGGAAGGAGACAAGGAAAGAGCTGAAAAAAAAAACATAAATTTGTATCATCTAAGTTGTTTAAATCTATACTCACATCTGTGTTTCATCGGAGTGTTTATGGACAAAATAGTTCTATGGGCCAACTCTCGTTGACTCGATGTCACAATAGAAGCCTCCTCATCACCTTCACCGTCTGAAAAATCAGGTTCAACCAATGATGATCTCGGCCGAGTGAAAGCCCCTTCTTCCGAGTCGCAAAAAGTGACTTCAACACGTTTCGCGTCCTTTTCCACAATTTTTGCTTTCATTTCACCGACATGTACCTCAGAAGTTTTTTCGTTCACGTTTTCGATTTCAGCTATTTTTTCTACATGTTCAAGCTCTGATATAGATGCTCCTAAAGGATCTAACGTTTCTTGTTCATAAATACCACGTTCATGGTCGACTTCGCCCGTTTTGCTATTTTCTTCTTCCCGCGCAAAACCTTCGTCATCAATTTCATCCAGAGTTTTATCCTCTCTAGGAAAAACTAAAGGGTCTTCGCTCTGGTCTGAAAACTTCCCGTCATTTTGCGGCAACATTAGCATCGATGGAGATGTAGGGGAACTTTGTGGACTTAAATCAAGTTCACGTATGTCCTTCTTAGGGGTATTTTCACTTACTTCAGTGTCCATTTTTTCTTTTGCCTCTTCCTCAATGCAATCAATGATATTTTCTTCATTTTTCGCAGCATCCTCATGTGCGTTGTTCGAATCAGCAGATAACATTTCATCATTATCTAACGTCACATACTGGTCAAAACAAGTTTCATTAATCACTATTTTTTCAAACGAGCTCGACTCTGTTTTTTCATATGCATTCGAAATCGGCTGCTTGAAAATTGCATTTCTACTATACGGAGACATCAGAGCTAAATTCTCATTCGAAGACATGGTCTCGCTCACAATAACAGTGTCGTCTGCTGGTGGAGATTCCGCTATGCTAATGGACTCGTAGGAAGATCTTTCAATTAATTTTACTAACGGCGACTCCTTCACCTCGTTTAGATTATTTCGGAGAAACAGACTTTTATGCAGATTAATTCCTCTGTCGTTTTCCAATTTCGATTCAAAATTGCAGTCTTTTAGTTCTAAGCTATTTCTTTTGGACGAATTACTCGAAACCGATACGCTCTTACTATTTTGTTCATCTTTGAACTTGAAGTTGTTCAAATTGAGTTCAGCCGAACCACTCGAACAAATTATCTTCTCATCATCCTGATCGTCATCTTCATTGTCTTCCGCGTTATCAGGGTCAACGTCACAAAACGTCTCTTCTACTAGACGTTTACTACTTCGCTCGAAGGAAACCAAATTGTTCAGATTCTCAGCTGAATCATCGAAAACATTTAGCGAAGCTCGCGGCGAATCTACGAAAAACAATGAATGTCTACTTCTGCTGTCTGGAACAGTCGCTTTTTTGGCTCCCGACGATGCAGGAAGTACAATTGAACTGCTGGGTAACATTTGTAGATCTCCGTTTCTGATCGGTGAACCTGATGAAACGCTGTTTGTCATATCGGCTGATGGAAGTTTACGCTGTAAACAGAAAACAGGATAGTAGATTTCTCAAAATCTAGTGAAAATAGAAGTTAAACATAGCCAACTGACAGTTGGAAAAGAGTAATGAACGCAAGGAAACTGAAAAAAAAACGACTTATATTTTCAAAAAAGTTCAAGTTTTGAATTTCGAAAAATAGATTGCCTTAGAGCTCTTTGAATTTGTAGAACAATTTATGATGGACACTTTTATGTTGAAATTAACCCAATTTTGTTTAACGCAATGAAAATTTAAGATGTTCCTGAAAAAATATATATCACGATTACGTTCATCGACAATTCAACAAAAAAAAATTTGGTGATTTTTTTCCAATCACTACGAAAGGCTGAAAATAGCTTATCACACTTATGTGTGTAACAAATACAGGCATCATTAAATACACTGCTATAAAGCCGAAAGAGCGGATGCTGAACAAAAGATCAATAAAGAATATGAGCAAAGAAGATATAGAAAAAAAGCACGACTTGTATTTGAAAACCTGGTTTCGAAATGAACGAAACTCATAGACATTCAATTGACAGCTAGTATCACAGCTAATCTATTCAGATACATCTTTGCTAATTCTATATCCAAAACAGCTTTCAGGCATTACGGTTAGGCGCCACGAATCCGTACCTTTCAAAGCACAACATTCAAACCTATTCTTGTTACAACAGACAAATTTAGCTCGAATCGTGATACAGAAGCCTTAAATATTTCCAATTAAACTATTCATCTTAGGTTTTTAGTAGCACCCAATTTTACGTTGAAAAAATCAAAACCAGACTTATTGATTTCAAAAATATCGCATTAAAATCGTTTTTAATTTTTTACGCAGAGACGAAGTTGTGCTTCGCAAACACTAGCGAGAACTCGACAAAAAGCAGCTCTATAAAGTGCAATAAGAAAAAGTATAAATAAGCCTTGAATTAGTAAAAATTCGGCTACGTCTCGAATTAGATCTGCGACCTAGAGCTTATGAGCCACCCGCACTACCCACTCAGCCACGCACGCTTAATAAACCACAAACACTAGCCACAAATAACCCAAAGAACAGAAGATTTGAAATTTCCAATGCTACAGATCTTGATTACAGCAAAAAGGCCACCAAATAAGTGAACTTTTAATGAACAATTTTATTTGCGAGTTAGGTTGAAAAGGTTAGGTTGCGACTAAGGTTGGTGCAATTACATTAACACTCGCAAGCTCGTTGGTGTTAACAACGATTCCTCTTATATTCCAAAACCGCGAAAAAAAAATTAAATATAAGCTGATAAACTTACTTTCCGACTTGACAACGTCAATTGTACTTCATCGCTGATCCGGGCAGCTACCTGTAACAAAATAATCCTAATTTATATTTGAGGCTTTAAGAAACAATCGAAAGTTTAAACAAATAGCTCACTGCATTCTCGCTTTTCTTTGTCGCTTCGCTAGTGAACAGAAATTCGACATCTCCAAAGCGAACGTGATCTCCATCTTCTAGAACTTTCAGTTTCTTCCCCAGTCGTTTCTACACTAGGCAAAATAATTTCAAAAACTTAAAATAACTCAAAATCTGATCAAATAATAGTGCATTCTTTAGCAGAGACAAGCAGTTGACGCAAAGCTTAGCTTCCCTTCTCAATTAATTAATTTTTTATTATTCTGTAAGAATCAGCTTTTTCTTGAGTTCTGTTCGTTTGCGTCTCCTCTCTCTATTTTTCAGAAGCATGTCTGTCTGACCTTGTTGACGAATGTTCCATTTCTGCTGCCCAGGTCCCGAACCCCTAAGAGTCTCCTCTCCCCTCCAAAGTCAATGTCCTCAATAACTGCATGGTTCCTTGACAGCGACTAGAAAACAGTTCTGAATCAAAACAGTTTTAGTGTTCGAACTTATGACTGCAACCAGCGTCGGACTTCGACAATTTGACCACCCGAAAACCACCCTGGTTATATTTGAAGACATCCATTTTTTGTCGGAAAACACCAAAAACTACCCAAAGCAGCCTTTGGAGTCATAAGGTAATAACTTTGAATGGGGAGCTGGCGCTGAAAATAAATATTTTCGTCATAAACTTCCCAAAAATGCCAAAACTGAAGAAAATTGAATTGCTCGACTTATGAAAGATCTCCATTTTATATGTTTTTTTTTTTACAAAAATCTATCCCTCGCGGAAATCTTACGCCCATAATCATCACAGAACTTGTTCAACCACGAATTAGCTTTAAAGAACATACGACTTCACAAAGGAGAACATAAGCCCGATATTTTTTCCATCAAAATTAAATTATGGTTCCGAAACGCAAAAACTAACCGGAAGTTTGAATTGGTAGTCAGAAGCTCCACGGCCAAATGTAGTTGTACCTAAATTATGCAATGAAATTAACACGCAATACAGCCAGCACATGGTTAGAAAAGGGTTGAAGAACACTGAAACCAAAAAAATTGACGAAATTTTTTTATTATTTCTTTCAAAATAAAAAACTTTCAAATTTCGAAGACAAAATATATAAGCTGAAGCTTTTTGAAATTCCATATTTGTTTATCAATGGCACTTTATCCGTAAAGTTATCCTAGATAGGGAAAACTGGATTAATAGGAAATTTTTTTATTCTACTGTGATATCAGAAATTAAAGAACTTTTTCACTATGTTTCATTCATGTTTTTTATGATCTTTAAACTTTTGCTATTCGATAGTGTATTTTGCCTTCCTTTTAAAAAATTAATGAACTTTAATTAATAAGAAGTCAAAAAACAAACAGCGAAAAACTCAATTTGAGCTTGAACAAATTTTCCTGAAAAAATAACTTTTTAAAATAATCACGACCTGATGTTTAATTTCAAGAAAACACAGTTGCGAAAAAATTACAGCGATAGATAAGCACAGCATCGCTTATCAAGTGACCACTGAGACAACAAAATTTTGAAAATTAAAATACCTTTTCTGGCATACTGTTCTTTTATTGTTCCGAACATTGAAAATGGGGAGAAACTTCGTATTCGGGTGTATTTTATTTTTTCCCCTTTTTTCCATGCAAAATCAGATAGATCATAACCATCGTAATGGGCCGAGTGTTATATGATATTAAAGCCCATTGAATCGTGCTTCGAACGACATTAAAAATGTCGCAGTAATCAGAAAAACTTTTTTGAAATGATTGAAATTTAGTCCAATTTTTTTTTTAGTTTTGGATAATTAATTTAGCGCTTGTTCGGCAAGAAAACTTTTTTTTTAAATTTTTAGTAAAATTGTGCACAATCTTTATTTAGTTTTTTTTATTTTGTTTTTTATTCATTTTTTGTAGATAAATGCTGTCGATCATGCCTAATTGACTTATTTTCCACGCAATCGTATAACTCTCGAATCAACCCACCCACTAAAAACGACCTTAACTTTAAGAAAGGAGATTAACATTTTTCTTATGAATATGATCGGAACAGTTTGTGCTATTTGCACAGCAACCGGCTATCCTTGTTAGTATTCCCTTTAGATATATTCTGATGCCATTTACTTCGCAGGCGGTTTCGAAAATCTTCAACTAAGTGGTATTTGGGTCAAATGCTTTGACTTATCTTCAGCTGGACCTTTTCTCAAAAAAAATTGAATATAGATTAATAATTTCTGATCGACTATTCTTCAAGGTAAATTCTTTGATCCTTTTCACTTAGTGAGCAGGCTATGTATTCAATTAACCAACACAAAGTAAGAAAAAAATTGGTATTTCGTCAATCTGAAATAGTCAGGTGATATAATTTCTTGAATTTTTACCAAAATGTCACAAAATATACTGACGCCAATTCAGGAACGTCACAGCTTGAAATCAGGTGGAAATCAAAATGCCAAATCAAAACAATTTGTAATACAAAAACTTTGAGCTATTTAATTACAAATTTCTACATAAACCGAAACCATTTAGGCTCAAAAAAAAACAAAAGCAGAACAGACGAAATGAAATAAAAGCCATGAGGTCGAAAAAATGTCAGAAAACAATTAGAAAATTTTAATTTTTTAAGGTTGTTAACCATTTTAAATTGTTAACCCAAAAAAGTATCTATTCCTCTTTGATAAAGGTTACTAACCGCAAGCGTAAACAATTTTCTCGAATGACATGAATAAGCATTCAGAATCATTAAGCGAGCAGCAACCAAACCAACAAACATAAAAAAAACTATCATCACAATTTGAGTCAAAATGTCATCGAGAACTTTTATTTGAGCAAAAGTTTTTCCTTTTGAGTGTTTCCGGAGTTGCAGGTCCCTGAAATTCTTTCTTTTAAAAAATTCATTAAGCCGATAAAACACAAACCGGGACCATTTAAGCCGAATAAAGCTTTTAATCAAAAAACGAAAAATAACAAGTCATGTTTAGTGAACTTAAAAATACAGAAAACATTTGCGACCACAAAAAGAATGGCGTGCAGCAAAAACAAATCCGGGATGCAGTTACTAAGCCATCGAAACATAATCAGATAAATGATAGACCAACAATTTTTGAAATAGTGTTTTCGGTAAGAACAAAAATTACATCCTGGCCGGATTCGAACGTTCGACTTTTGCCGTCCCAGGCGTAGCCGTTATCTTTAGGTCCAGTAGACCGGGGAGTCAAAAAATAGAATTGTTTATCAATATCAAGAATACTGATATGAATCTTAAAGTGTACTTTCATTGTAGTGTTCCAGTAATTTAAAATTAAATTGCAAAAATTTGAGTATATCAATAAGAACATGAGTTTAGTTGTCCGGTAGTGCAGTAGTTTTATTTAAACTTTCGACAATTTGAGCATGTCAGCACCTGTTCAGAGATTCAACTTAAAACAATTTGTAAAATCATAACGCTCGCTAATCGCAAGAGTAAAAAAAAAGAAAACATTGGAAGTCAGACTGAAAAAAGTCACGTGGGTTACCCCAAGACCAAATGAGTATGGGCTTCAAAGAAACTTAAGTTCCATAATCCAGCAGTGTAAGAAAAGTTAAAAAAGACGGTAAAATGTCTCCCAATTTCAAGTCATTTGCTCTCGCTAGTGAAAATAAATTCTATCCAACTAATCTCCTACTATGGAAAATTACCTACAGCTAGGAATGTCGAGAATATGTCCCCGGACTACTTTTTCACTTAAATCATTAACTGATACCTCAAATGACTGAAGTTAGGTCGCCAGCTGGAAGAACAGTGAAGCAACACTTTCAGGAAAAAAAATTACCGCAGACGCTGGCTTTATACACAGATAAAACTCTTTCGATTTGATATTTACAAAAGAAGCTTTCCACTTCTTTTACGGAATTCGTAAAATTGTTTCACGACTCAAGCAAAACATATACAGTTAGAGAAATGATCCATATCGCGACCAATAGTCAAGTTACAACGTTGTTTTTCCTACCTGAAAATATTTCCACAACTTTGGGAAGATCCGGAGGCACGTTTGACACAGACCCCGTGGAAATGAGCTTCAACCAGGCCAGCTAGAACAAAATAGTTGAATTGAAATAAACGTAAATAAAAATTTTCTTCGCTGCTAATTCTTGAGAGCAAATACGTAAAAATTATCACCTTTAACGCCATATAAATATGTTCCGATTCAAATAACAAACTAAAAATCTCAAAACATAGACACCTGAAAACTTCATCAAAAGAAAAAAAAGATAAAAGATGATCAGTTAAAAATTGATGGTAAAAGAAATACATAAAATATGGGAAAACTAACATGCGTTTTAATGGAGTTTACATGAAAAAAACCTCAATATTGAAAACTGTGCTTTGTTTGCTCCAACATTCCCCCCTCCCCCGTTGATCTTTGATCAATCAGTAAAAAATTTTCAGGCTATCGTTCCGGCATATTCATTTCCCACCATTATCAGCGGCCATGATAGGAGGCGTGTTATTATCAACGGTTATGCATACTAAACATCCATTCTCAAGATGTTTTTCTACACAGTTCTGCGTTGTTGCCTAGCGGCTAGGATACTCAACTATCCCGAATTCTGCCACCAGTTTGAATAAAAAATTAAACCGCTTTCTCGGGCATTTTCATCCTAATTATGGTCATCAATGGTAAAATCAACTAATTGGCAAATGACTCAACTTGAAACCATTTAACAGCACCGATGGGGAGAGCTGCACAGTATCTTTAGCCCTGAACTTTCTGAGAACCATTATCCGTAATTATTGTGATCTGCCTTGTTTTATGATACAGGAGTTTCATTGAGTTAACAGCAGCTTCCAATAAGCATCCGAATTTTGGAGCTTTTGCGGTTATGGTAGTCGAACTGATACATGTCTTCACTTCCCTTTGATACATGTCTTCGATTGAATTAGATCGTCTAGCTATCCAAGGAAATTCATTCCATTAACGGAGAAGATCTGATTGGGGCATCTTTGTCTATCATTGAACTTTCTGAGATCCATCAAGCATTCTTGAGAGTCAAAGCCTTTCGAAATATCCAAAGGGAATGCTTTAAAAGAAAAGCAAATTGAAACTACTTGGTAATTTTTGAAACATGATCGGCAAACATGATCGGTAAACATGATCGGCTTCCTTGTAATACATTGTTCCGGCAGATCGATACAAAAGTAGTAGATTGGTGGCGATGGGTTGACTCTCTCACTAGATCAATCTCCTATTAGCGGATTCACTGCTCTGCTACGAAATCTGAAGCAAGTGGTGCAGTTGCTTATCAATGCTCGCGCCATCATGACTCGTACGATCCAAAATTGACGTCGAGTGTGAGCGACAGTGTAAATCAGTTCAATGTCCATGGGCAAGGTAACTATGGCGAATCACAGTTCATGAGAAAGGACTGCTCGGAGTCAAGATCGTCAAAAAACTGCTTTTTCGATTAGGCAGTCGGCTGCTGCGAGTCGTCTACCAACTTTAAACAAATCATCATCGTCTATGAATGGATATAGCTGAAGGAGGCTTGATGTCCAATTAATGTATTGGACGATTTTTATTGTTTTAGTTCTTCGACGAAAAGATGCTCTTGAATGCCTCGCCTCGTACATGAAGCTTCGGTCGTAGCTTTCGAAGCTGATTCCGATCGTTGGTGTTTTTCAAAATTTTCAGGGCTAACAACTTTGCTACTAAGGGACTGATTTCGATGAATTTTCCGCCCTTTTTGTTCAACCGATGTCTAGTCATAGTTACTTTTGCTGCTTGCATACTTTCCTCTCCTTTAGCTGCCTCAGTGGCCAGGATGGTTTCGCCTTTTGACCTAATGGTTTCGCCTAAAGGGTTGGAATTTCAAATTTTGAAAATTAATTTAAATTTATTTTTTCTGAAATTGTTTTGAAAAAAAATGAAAAAACGCCATATCTCGAAAACAAAATTAAAGAAAACCAAATTTGAGACAAAGCCTCACTTTAGAGATGAAAACTTCTAATTTTGTTAAACTTCTCTATCTCCAAGTTCTTTAAACAATTTTAAAATAAAAAAGATATAACAAACATCATATCTCGGAAACGAAAGAGCATTTGAGCCGTCGCATTTGAACGCAAGATTTGCAATTAGGAAATCCTGAGAGTAGCCTCACAGCACCAAACTAAGAGATTGGAATTTCAATGCTTTGTTAACTTTTTGATACCTAAATTCTCTGAAAAATTAAAAAAAAAATCATTGAACAGGTCATACCTCAAAAAAAAACGACTTGAGCAGTCGTATTTGGAGACAAGGTTCGCAATTCTGAGTGTTCCCTGAGAGCACCCAATTACAGGATCGAGATTATCACATTTTAAAACTTTTTTAAATTAATTTTTTTGAATTTTTTTAAAGAAAGTCCCAAAAATCGTCCTATCTCATAAGCTTAGAGTATTTGGGTATTCATAATTGGAGGCAAAAACCGCAAACCCTGGAGAAGCCTACTAGTACTCCATAAATGGGTTTTAATTCAAAACTTGGTAAAATTTGGAAAATTCAAAAAAATCTTAACCATTGCAATACACGATATAGCTTAATATGAAAAAACTCTTTCGTTAAACATGCGAAAATAATACGTTGAAAAAACTTCAACATGGCCAGATAGTGGCCTTTTGTAGAAAAGAAAATGAAAACTACTATATAGCATTGATTAGTTGGTCCGCTTCCTTGTAGCAGATTGTTCATGCTCAATCTAAACCAAAGTAGAAGATTGGTGGCGATGGTGATTTTTTGGCTTCAAATTTTGTTACTCTTTTTCAGCACTTAATAAACGTTTTTTCTCAATTAATTTGATTCATGGCGAAATTCAGTCAATTTATCGAGATTCTGCAGGGGTCGAAATGCACCAGATCTTGGTTTCCAAAAGTTCCTACATCTTGGTCTTCTGTGGGCTCAACTTAGCCAGACTGACTTCGGCAGCAACAGAAGAGACTTTGGCTGGCTTGGTGAGGCGAGCTGTGCCAGGTGGCAGGCCTATGGCTTCGCAGAATATAAATTATTCATATACTGGTACTCGGGTCAATGAGATTTTGGATGCCAAGTGAATCCATGAGTTTTGACGCTGTGGTCCGTTTCTTAGCACGCTGTGTTCAGAGTATCACTGATACTTTGGCACAACCTGATGGCTGTTATCACCAATGAAGCCATCTACATGAAAAGACTCAAAATGTCAACTTTGATGGGTTCCAATTGAATCAATCTCTTCTATCTCTCTATCTATTTCTCTATCTATCTATCTATTTCTCTATCTATCTATCTATTTCTCTATATATCTATCTATCTATCAATCTATCTATCTATCTATCTATATCTATTTATCTATTTCTCTCTATCTCTCTCTCTCTCTCGTAGAGCTGATGTAGATTTCGGCCTTCTGAGTGTAATTCTAGTTGCCTGTACATCTTGGTAATGTTACCAGATAAAGCGACTTTGCGTCATCGGAAAAAATACAAGTTTATTAAAGAGTCTGCCTGCTGCTTGGGAGCAAGCAGCAGACATTCGTTTAATAAGTTTCAATTTGGTGCTGGAAGTAATTAGGTTAAAATTTGGTTATAGCAACAACTTAGTGCTGGTCAACTCCAAATTAGAGCAGATCCGTTGAAAACAGTTTTGCAATTACTTGCTGAAGAACTGACTTCCAAACTGCATGACGAGGCAGGAGGAAGTGCTTCCCGACTGGCAGAAGTTGATCTGTCGCAGGTACCTTCTCGATATGAACAGTATCAATAATCTCCAAGGAAAAACCTTTAAATTGATTTTTGGCTTCACGAATCAGTCGTAGCTCTTTTTCATTACAGCTGAATTACCCGAGTCATGGGTGAGTGACCAAAATCGAGTGAGTTCTTCGTAGCGCCCCAATGATTTGTTGATAAGTGACTCACTCAAGCTCGTCAGGAAATGTATTCACAGTGTCTATCAAATGTTGTCCACTGGCTGCCAAGGGAATTATTTCCAGTCCGACGAGTGTTTTCGTGCTGTGAACTTTTAGTCGGTATCAGCAACACATAAGACTGTCCAACTAAGCATCAAGTCAGTGAACAGTATGGTTCCTTCCTTGAGGTTCTTTGACCACTGTGTGTATGGACGGATTGTCCAAGCAATAGATCAATTTTAAGAGGCTTGTCGAAAGCTTGCAACTGCCAAAATTTCGTAGTTCTTTGGCTACATTTGTGTATTTGGATGCTTGTGACCTGTGATGTTTTCTAACACCACAGGAGACTTTGATGTTGTTACGAAACTTCGGTAAAATTGTGAGATTGATTCGACCATGAGAAGACATAGCGTTCCTCTCTTTCACTCCAATTACGCTATCTGGAGCTTGTTGATTTGAAATCAAGCAGGTGCATGGGCTGAAGGGTGATGAAGTTCCTCTGAGCGCAGTTGTCGAGGAGCGCCCACTGATGTTGACTGGATGCGTCTATCATTATCTTCGCGGCTTATAGCGTTTAATGAGCAGCCTTCTAAGACTCCTGACATTGATCAAATGCTTGATAAATTTCTGAATTATCAGTGATATGCTTACGCAGCTCGTGATTAGCAATGGACGATTGAGCCTAGCAATGCTCAAGCTCGATAGTTTTCTCTCTCAATTCATCTTGGTTACAGTTGAGGTTAGCATTAAGGTCGCTGACTTCAGAAACTTGCCGTTTCAAAACTGGTAGACACTTCTTGGAACTCGTTTAAGCATCTTCATAGCTGAAGGCTCTGATGCGCTTAGTTTCCTATGGTTTTTAAGCAAACCAAAACGAAAGACTTCCCGATAGCTACAAACAGAGATTGAATTACAGATGTTTTAATTAATATAAATTGCGAGTAAATGAAATGATAAAATTATGGGAAAAATGACTTGTGTTTTTAATTGAGTTAATATGTGAACAAAAAAATACTATTATTAAAAAACATTCTAATTCGCTCTAACAACACCTTTAAATTTACCAAAAAGTCAATGAAAAGAGGACATGTATGAACGATGAGTTAAGCATCCTCAGACAAAGCTATGAAAACAAATCAGCAAATATATCAATTATTTCAGCAACAGCAATGTTGATATCTTCATTGTTACGAATTTCGAAGAAAGTAAAGAACATATATGCTCGGGGTGGTTTTCTTATTCAGACCAATTCTTAGAAATATTTCCCTCGAGAGATCGATCTATGGATCTTAGTAGTCCCAGAAGTAGCGAGTTCACAACTAGACTATCCTGACTTATAAATTGCTGTGAAACGCTCACTAATATACTTATGTGACAATACAAGCGCTGAGATACTTTGGAGCTGAAAGTTAAATGCACACTATTTTAGCGTGGCGAATTATCTCGCACCACGAAATCGTTCCAAATTCAATTGAGGCAGGCTACTTGGTCTTAATAATTGCATACACAATTAGGCACATGTGTGATAGAGGGTTCCCAAGAAACGTACCGGCCCCTTAATCTAAACATAGGCGCTACGCACAATACACCGAAGGCATAGAAACTGAAGCAAAAACCAAACAAATTGAACAACTAATAATTGAAGAATAACAGTTCTAGAACAAAAAATCGTACTAATACATGTATACACCAAAATTTTGCTATATCGAGAAAGAGCCTGAAATAACAGTTCTAGAACTAAAAATCGTACTAACACATGTATAGGTTAAATTTTTGATATATCAACGAAGATCATAAAATAACACTTCTAGAACTAAAAATCGTACTAACACATGTATACACCAAAATTTTACTATATTGACAAAGGGCCTGAAATAACAGTTCGTGAGCTAAAAATCGTACGAACACATGTATACACCAAAATTTTGCTATATTGGCAAAGATCATGAAATAACAGTTCGAGAGCTAAAAATCGTACTAACACATTTATACGTCAAATTTTTGCTATATTGACAAAGATCATGGAATAACAGTTCTAGAGCTAAAAATCGTACTAACACATGTATACACCAAAATTTTGCTATATTGACAAAGATCATGGAATAACAGTTCGAGAACTAAAAATGGTACTAACACATGTATACAATAAAATTTTGATATATTGACAAAGATCATGAAATAACAGTTCGAGAACTAAAAATCGTAATAACACATGTATACACTAAAATTTTGATATATTGACATAGATCATAAAATAACAGTTCGAGAACTAAAAATGGTACTAACACATGTATACGCTAAAATATTGCTATATTGACGAAGAGCCTGAAATAACAATTCTAGAGCTAAAATCGTACTAACACATGTATACACCAATATTTTGCTATATCGACAAAGAGCCTGAATAAACGTTGTAGAACTAAAAATCTTACTAACACATATATACACCAAAATTTTGCTATATTGACAAAGAGCCTGAGATATTGACAGAGGACCTGAAATAACAATCGTAGAACTAAATGTCGTACTTACGCATTGTAGATCAATTTCTATAGCTATAATAAAATACAAAAGATTGTGTTTGTATGTGTAGCAAAACGCCTCCTGTCGTTTCAATCGGCCAATCGTATAAATTGGCATGTAGACTCATATGGGTCTCCGGAATAACTAAAAATCGTACTTACACATATACTTACAAGAAAGAGCTAAAATGAAAAAAAGCTATTAGTCTTATTATATTGAGAAATTGTGAAGCAGTCTCAGAATTGACAGTATGTAGCAGTAAAACAATCCGAAAAACAAATGCAAAAAACAAAAAAATATATATGAACAAATAACCAAACAAACAGACCCATAATATGAATAAATGAAAATAAATAAATGAAATAAATACACATACATAAATAATAAAAGCAAAACTAAATGAAAGAAAGAATAATTAAATAAATATAGAAATAAATATCAACAAATAAACAAAACACACCTGATAAATAAATAAGCAATAAAAAAATAAGTCAATACATAAATAAATAAATAAATAAATAAATACAGAAATAAATACATAAATAAATAAATAAATAAATAAAAGCAAAAGTGAAATGTACAAATAATTAAATAGACATGAAAAAATATATATCAACAAATAACCAAACAAACAGACCCATAATATAAATAAATAAATTAAATAAATACACACGCAGAAATAATAAAAGCAAAACTAAATGAAAGCAAGAATAATTAAATAAATAAACAAAACACGTGATAAAAATAAACAAAAATAAATATGTACATACATAAATTATAAATAAATATAAGCAAACTAAACATAATTAAATAAATAGAAGAACAGATAATTAAATAAATAAAGATGAACAAATAAAGAAACAAACATACGCAATCACGTGACATAGCGCGATATAGTCCAGCCCACATGATAATTGATAACTGTGGACGTTATTTGTCGACACTTGACAACAGACAACATTAAAAGAAAAAACCCGTTACACGATACCATAACACCTTGACTAAAGTCTTCGGTGTAAAAACTGCCTCAACAAATTTATTGCTTTGATGACGTCAATTCAAGTATCGAATAAGTTTGCGCGATTGAGGCAGGTTATTAACGTTTGAAAAAAGGTTTAAAATGACCGACCGGCGCATTTTGAATTAGCCAATTGCGTTATTTCTCTGAAATTAATGTAATTTCTGACCCCTCTCTCACACTTGGTTTTTACCGGGACCCCTCTCACACACTTGATTTTTACCAGGACCCCTCAATCAAACTTGTACCCACGATGCTTAATATTCAGCATAAAATGAGGAGTTTGTCCGCAATATTTCATTAACCAAAAACTATTCGAGACCTGGACAGTCGGAACATTCAGAACCCTGATACGAGCAGTCTTATTAACTTATACAACTGCCAAACTGCAAATCAATTCAACTTTCATCGTTGATCTTATATCTTTTTTAAGAGTTTCAACGCAGAAAATGATCGCTCTGCCATTTGCGATGGATAGTGTTGTCGCAAAATTTTGTGAAAGGCGTTATATCCAGACACAGATAACACACACACCATTGCAGTTGTCTAATGCCTGTTATGTCACTTGGTAAAGTAGCAAGTTCCCTTTTTTGCCATTAGTCAGTACAAGTTTTTTAAGTTTCGATGGATCCCACACTATAGAAGACTTCAAAAATTTTCCTTAGACGGATTTGCTCTAAAATTTTCAATAAAACTTCAAATTGTTATTTTTCGAGGTGGGGCTTTGTTCGAAAAGAGCAAAAGATCTCTGCAGGATATGAGACTGACTGGTTTTGTTACACTTGACAGATCAAGTGTCGATGTTTCGGTTGCCATACTGTTGTCAAGAACAGGAAGAGATCCAATGCCCCAAACGTCCTGTGTACAATCAATGTCAACTGGCGCCCCGTGAGGCATGTTATTTTCTTCATCAGACATTTTTTGATTGATCTGAAAAAGTCAATTAATACGGGTACTAAAAAGAAACACTTTATTCGCCAGTTCAAAGTATCTTCAAATATACAAGTATAAGTCAAACTGTTATATGTGTAACCGTCGTTCAACCAAGTAGCATTTGAGAACAAGAATGGTAGGGTCTGTAGCCAATTAGCGGTTCGCTTAGGACATGGAACTTCAAGATCGTTACAACTTAACGGCTATTACCAAAATATTTCTTCCTCTCTAGATAGAAAAAAAAAACACTTTATTTGCCAGTTGAAAGTATCTTCAAATGTAAATCATATTATGATAGATATTGTCAAATACAGTAAAAACATTGAATACAAATCTTTAGCTTTTGAATAATTGTATCACAATCTTAAGGAACTTTCACTAAAAAAAATTGAAATCTGTGCACAAAATTTTGAAAAGAAAAAAAGAAAAGAATAAATTAAGATAGAAACACATCTATCTTACACGTGATAGAACAAAAGCAAACAAAAGTTTATAGAAAGTTTTTGTTTCTTAAGGCTCTGGCTGGAAAAAGCTTGAAATGTTTTTCTAATTTTTCGTGTGCTGCAACTGCTTTTTCTCTAAGTCTGTTTTCTGCATAAGTTTCTCGTTTTGGCAATTTTGAATGAAGAATATGGTCTTGTTTTGAACTTGACTGTAATAGTTTGTTGTCATGGTTCTCTATGAGCTCGAAAATTGGAGTAAATGTAGAAGTAACACCAAGTTTAAGAGCCCTGCGCTGAACTTTGTCCACATCGGCCAATTCGGTCGAATTGGCACATGCCCATACCGGTAATGCGTAAGTAATTTTACTCTGCACCAAAATTTTGTATAAAATATCAAGGGCAGAGATGTTCATACCAAATGTCTTTAGTCTATACAAAAGGTATATACTGCTGGTTACTTTTTTGCATAAACTTTTGATGTGCGATGAAAACGTAAGCCTGCTATCAAATAATACTCCGAGAATTTTAAGCTCTTCCACTTGCTCAATACCATCAAAAGCTTGTGGTACTAAACTAATGTCATTCGGTTTGATAGTCATCAGTTTTGTTTTTCCCTCGTTGAGTATGAAGTTATTTGTGGAGCACCAAGTTTTAATTTCCTCCAAAACTTTCATCGTGTTTTCGACCGAGCCGAACCCCGCTATCACAGAGTTTGCATCGTCCGCAAACTTTATAATTCTAGCACTGTTTGTACTCTCCAAATCCAAATCATAGCTTACTGTATTGAAAAGCGGCGGGCCAAGAACTGTTCCCTGAGGAACACCTTGGTTAATGCATAGCAAGTTCGAACGCTGAGAATTACTTTCCGTGAAAATTTTTCTGTCCTGAAGAAAATTTGCGATCCAATTGATTATGAATGGATTGATTTCCGGTCTAACTGATTGTAGCTTATCAATTATAATTGAATGCTGGACTCTATCAAATGCTTTACTAAGGTCTATTGATAGTATCTGTATATAATCAGCTTTACTTTTCTGAAAAGAAGCAATTTCTTGCTGAAGACAAATCATAGCCGTTGTGGTAGACGCTGAATTTCTGAAACCGTGTTGGTTTTTAGGTAACCAGCTGTATTACTGTGCTGAGATGAAGTTTTTCATAATAATTCTTTCGAAGAACCGAGAGATTACTGGGGTGATTGAGATGGGTCGATAGTCCTCAGGGCCCATAGGGGCTTTGCATTTGGCGATCGGAACTATTTTTGCAGTTTTCAGGAGTGAGGGGACTTTGGTTTGCAATATTGACAAGTTCAATATCTTTAACACTGGTTCTGCAAGCGAATGAGCGTTCTCCTTCCAGACCCAATACGGAATCTGGTCGGGTCCGGCAGCAGTTTGTTTTAATCGTTTGAGCTGGGAGTATATTTGCTGTAGTGAGACCTCTGGGGAGTCATAACCTGATACGTTACATACATGCGGCTCAATATACTCCGTAGAAGTACAAATTTCCGCAAAGTATTGATTCAGCTCGTCAGGTTCGTGGTTTGCTGTAGAAGTTAAGATTTTTCGGCCTGTTAAATAGTTCACTTCTTGCCACCAAGATTTGGTTCGACGTTTACTTTTTGTGAGATTCTTCTTTATCTCCATTTTGATAGCATTTTCTACTTCGGTTGAAATTCTGTCTTTTTTCTTCATGCGGTACTTTTTCTTGAGAAGCGATTTCAGCAGAGGAGTCATGTAATTGGGGTCTCTAGCTGAAAGACGCACAGTTTTTATAGGACAGGTAACATCTAGAAGTTCAAGTAACAAGTTATTTAACTGGGTAAAGGCTAGGTCTGGGCAAGAGTAATCAATAAGGGACATATCTACTCGGTCCAAAGTGATACCAAATACTTCTCTGTTAGCAAAACTTGTTTTTCTGAATGATGCGTGGTATCTTTCTGTTTTTTCTTGTAAGGGCTCACAGTAAACCGCTAAGTGATCTGTCGACAAATAGCAGTTTATGACGCTGGTTGGTTTGTAAAGCTCTGGTTTTGAGCAAAGAACTTTGTCCAGAATTTTTTCAAACCGAGTTGGATTTTTGTTAATTTGTACAAGGTCGCTAAAGTCGGTCAAGAGGTCACTGTTGAAGTTATTCAAATCTCCAGCAACGAGAAATGTGCAGGCTGGATTTTTTTTAAGTACTACTTCTCTTTTATCCAGTATATATTCAGCGAGTTGTATGTCACAGTTTGAGTCAGGCGGGTAATATATACAGCCAACAAAAAAGTTTCGTTCATTCAGTACACAGTTGAGCCATAAAGTTTCCGAAAATGATTGATGCGAAGAGTCTTCAAACAATATACATTCAGTTTGTAATGATTTTAATGCGTAAATACACACACCCCCAGCTCTAGTTTTGGAAGTAGCATTGAAGTTTCTGTCAGATCTGAAAAGATCATAACCTTTTATATTCAGTGAGTCCGATAAAATAGAGTCATTTAGCCAAGTTTCGGTAATTAAACATAAATCAGGTTTCAGTTGATTGAGATCCAATATGAGGCTAGATATTCCATTTTCTTTTTTCAATGATCTTGCATTTATTAATAAAACAGACGGAGCCGGAGGACGTGCTAGTCAGACAGGGACAACAACCCCATCAACAAGTAATTTGAGATTACGGATTTTGATGGAATTTTTGTCTGTTCCAGTATTTATTAGTTCTCGTCTTTTTTTGAGGACTTTTCTTTCTTCAAGACGTTCTTCGCGGGTTAGATCAGGGGAAATGTAAACATTATTTTTCGTTCCAAACTTATCCAGAATTGCTTTGGATACAAGTAATTCGGCATCTGTTCTTGACGTTAATTCCACAATTAGTGTTCTGTCTTTATCCGGGTCGTATTTACCTGCTCGAATAACACCATTTATTCTAAGTTCTTCGAAACCCAATTTCAATGCTATGTTTTTGACTTTTTTGATGTCGTCAGTTTTCCGTTTGTAAACGTTGTCTTCAGAGCTCTCAGGCAAGCCGCTCACTCTGATGGATTTTTTTGTGACTTCAGACATAGATTGTTGAACAACATTGTTTGGGGTCACAACAGTTTCTTTTTCAGTTTTCATTTCCGTGAGTTGATCTTTGACTTCGTTCAGTTGCTTGGATATTTCTTCGAATTTTTTCTGAAACAGCAATGGTGCTTCGTTGTTTCGGTTATGTGATTCTATGATGCATGGTTCACATCTCCACATGAGTCCTTTGACACTACCGAGATAAGTCACAACCGGGGCTGGAACCCCTGAACACAGTTGATGAAACCACTTGAAGCACCCTGAACATTGTAAGGTATTCAAATTGCACTCATCACCACAAGAGCCACATGGATATTTCGGTGTCTTTTTCTTGTTTGGCATAGTCGATAACTTCCAGTTCCAAAATGATATAATCGTTTGTAGTTCTGTTGTCGATGATAAGTTGGAGCGCACCCCGGCGCGCTCAGCAATTCATTGATCTGGAAACACTATTTAATAAGTTTATCACAACAATTAGGCTTCCATAGGTTGCCACCGTTAGATCTTTAAATACAAGTAAATAAATATTCTTTTTTATCGTTTTTGCTTTTCTGTCAGTACGGATATTCTTGAAAACGATTTTGCTATCTGTAACCTGTTCAAATACTTATTTTAAAAAAGAGTTTTCAATAACGGGTTTATAGTTGCGTGAACAATTAGCTAGAGCAAGAATTCTTATCTAGCAAATAACCAAATTCAAAAGCAAGGACAATCATTGTCAGTGGAATCCAGAAACAAATCTTAAACTACTGGCTTATTAAAATTGTCTTTGTACCCTTCAGTATTCAGGGAAAATTTCCCCAGCAAGCTGTTATTGGGATCATAATTTGGAAAGCATATCACAAAACATCACAGAGCATGTGCAATCATTATTTAGGATTTGTCGATGAGCAAAATTAACAAAATGAACAAAATGAATATTTGGGATCTACCCTCGTGATTTGACGCAAATACTGTGAGTGACTGAAATACTGCCCTCATGCTAAAAACTTGTCGGCCTATCAATTGTTTGGACTATCTGTAAAATTGTTTGTAAAGTTTTAATACCAGCTTGTTCCTAATTCTTAAATCTAAATGTTTTTATATGGATTGCCTGGAGTATATGAAGTTTATAGTATCCGAAACTTCATATACCTTAATCAACCAATTTCTGAACTGTAACCGGTTTTGTTTATTGCTTGTTTTCTGATGTTTTGTTTTTGTTTGATGTAACCAATGAATTTATAACCAATTTTATTATTGCAAGTTTTTGATGAACTCCTCCGCGATGCTCTTTCTGTCATAGTTGGCTCACCTGTTCTTGATCTTGCCTGGTCCCAGTCTTCCCTGCCTATCAAAGATGGCGGACTTGGCGTCCGGCAAGCTCGCGACCAACACATCCCTGTCTTCCTAGGGTCTTCGTGTCAGTCAGCTCATTTGGTCTCGTTTCTTACCGAATGCGACATCACTGATACGCCGGAGTTCCTGCGTGCCTCGAACGACTTCCGTGAACAGTCTGGAAGCGTTAACACTCCCGGTTTTACTCAAGAAGCTTTCCAAGAGAAACTCGATAAGGCCACCTACAACGCTTTCTTCTCGTCTCTTCCCGATTCCCGCGAGCAAGCTCGTCTTCAGTCGCTCTCTCTGCCTTACGCCGGCGCTTGGCTTACCGCAGTCCCCATTAAAGGTCTTGGCCTGCACCTGCTACCTGCTGAGTTCCAAGCTGCTGTCAGATACCGCCTTGGTCTTCCTGTGTTCGCGTCTGCTCGTAGGTGCCCCGCGTGTCCGTCTGGCATTCTGGACGTCCTCGGGGACCACGCTGTCGCTTGTGGGGTGAGTGGTGGCCGGATCTCCCGTCACGACAGACTACGGGACATTATTTTCAATGCTACCTCGGCTGCCTCTTTAGCCCCCATCAAGGAGCAACGGAACCTCATCCCTGGAGAACGGTCCAAACCCGGCGATATTTTTATCCCTACTTGGAGCGCTGGTCGCCCAGCTGCTTTCGACGTCACCGTGACATCCCCGCTGCAGTTATCTCTTCTCTCTCGTGCGGCGGAGACCCCCGGGGCGTCCCTGGAAGTTGCTGAGGACCGCAAATTTTCGAAACACGAGAAAAACTGTGAGGAACAAGGAATCAGTTTTTTCCCGTTAGCAGTCGAAACGCTCGGGGGTTGGTCCGCTTTAGCTATCAAAACCCTCAAGTCAGTTGCTATCCTCGCTGATGCCAGTCGTTCTGGTTCACGTGACGCTCGTGTTGCCCCAGTTCGCTTTCTCCAGAGCCTCTCAGTGTGCCTCATGAGAGGAAACGCCACTATGATTGTCAGCCGGGCCATCTAGTCTTGTGCAGTTTATTACGTTTTTTGGATTCCCAATTCTGGTGCTCCTTTGTTCCTTTGCTGTTAGCGCATTCCCCCTCTCTTTTCAATCCTCAATGATTCATCCCACTTTTGTTGTTTGTTTTGTGATTGTTCATTTGTAATAGATAGAAGCAATAGTTCAGATAGTTCCGAATACATTGATTATCATGTCCGATTACCAATTTTTTAAATTGAAACAAAGTTTTTTTCAAAAAATTTTATTATTTACACTTTGCTACACTGATGCCTCGGCTCTTTATTGTATAGTAATTCAAGTGTTCTTTCTCCTTCTTCTTCTTGAATATCTTAAATATGAGGGGATGAGAATGATTTCAAACCATAGTCCAGTGCGAGGAGGTTTACTGGGTTCGATTACATTCTATATTTTTGTTTATTGGTGATCGATATCGGAAAGTGTTCTACGAGAAAGCAAGAAACACCGGATCTTATTTGCAAATTCAGAATACTCTGGTTTTCCTATGGAATGTTTTCGTTCTAAATATTCGAATTTTTCGCTCAAAGCAGCAATAAAAAGTATTCGCCGAAAACCTGCTTCACGGGTCTGTGCCAGTCGGTCATATCTGGAAGAGAGGAGGAGGAGTCAGGAGGAGAGGCCAGTCTAGGAGGAGAGATAATCACAAAAAAAGAATACAACTATTCGAACCGAACCAGAGTGAACCTTCAACGGAAAGGTGGACAGCTTGAGTGTCCCAATGGTTCAGACAAAAACTCCAATTCTAGAGTCAAAACTCAATTCTGTTATTAGAACTGACCAGTATTGAACTTATCTAGTTATCTTATTTATTTGTTAGAACAGTAAAAATAGTTGTTCGGACAACGTCCAATAGTGAATCTACGAGTTTTAAAACCCGCTACCCGAAAGCTTTCCGGGTTGCAGAGAAATCGAACTCAACGTGTTTGATTTGGTGGATTCAGCAAACCGGAGGGGTACAGGTAGCATAGTTTTTCGCAAATTTTTTCAACTAAAGCGTTTTAGATCGGGTCTTTTGCGTTGAACTAGAAAAGAATAGGACTTCTGAGCTCGGATCAATAATTTTTAGGTCGAAAAGAACAAAATTGCGGAAAAATTTTGGCGGAACCTATAAGAGACAAACTTTTTGACTTTAGAAAAAAAACGTTTTGGTTAATAACTTTGGAACTACTGGGCATATCGAGTTGATCTTGGTATCAATAGATCAGAAATTAGCTGAGCTTACTGATAGGGACAAAAGTTTTTCGAAAAAGTAAGCGTGAAAATTTTTTGAGATTGCTTTTAGCAAATTCACCAATTTGGAGGGTAGACCCTTCACGTTTTTCAAAATTTTTTTAGAAAAGCCCTCACACCCCTACCAAAAGGTAACAGCGGTTGAATAGAGTATATTTAGGCTGTTCTAGACGAAAGGGGAAGGCTAAAGGCACAAAAAAACCTTAATCGAGCCGAAGTTGGGCTAGCGATAAGACCTTTCACCGTTAGCGTGAATTGTCAAATAAGAGGCTTAACTTCAATCCGAAAAGGTCTAGGAAAGCATTACATACCCTTCCTAGTTAATTGAAAAAGCAAAATCGCATCGGAGAACGTACCCGGAGGGGTATAGGTTGAAAGAAGGAAATCTCCGAAAAACTATTTTTACAAAACCAGAGGGCTCCCAATCCGGAGGGGTCAAAAAAAAATTTCAAATATTCGGAGGGGTCCGAATCCGGAGGGGTCTTATATTTACTAATTCGGAGGGATCCCATCCAGAGGGATTTAAATTTTGTTAATCCGGAAGGGTCATATTTTTTTTCCCAATCCGGAGGGGTCTAAATTTTGCTAGTACGGAAGGGTCCTATTTTTGCCAATCCGGAGGGGTATTATTTTATTAAAAGACTTAAGTAAACAGAAGAAAGACTACAGTTAGAGGTATTAGGTCATTAGCAGACAGGCTAGGAATCAGTGACTGCACTGGTAACTTGCCTTTCAATAAAAACAAGACCACAAACAAAACAGGTCCGAACTCGGATATTCGCGACACTAAGTCTAAACTAAAAAGAGCGTAATTCATTGGTGTGGATTGAAACCCAATACGTTTTTGTGAAAAGTTACTGCCCTGAGGATTGTAGTAGGTCTAGCTCGGGCAGTCCAAAGGCAGATAGGTAACACAGTACTCGGTGGGTGCAATAGACGCCCACTTGAGAAAATTACTGCCTTCAAAGTTTTGTCTGTTTGGTGCAGCACCAAGCAGGGAAAGCTTTTTCTTTAAAAGACAAGTTCGACTACTGTACTGCGACCAACTAATAGTACAATACACATACGTTTTTTTTAAATAGAGGTATTCATATTCTGTCATTATATATATTTTTTTGTTTTTGGTTTTAAATCAACATAAACTGTGCTTGATTGGGTAGTGAGTACACTATCTTTTAAATTGACTGATAACATCATATTGTGCTAGTTCTCAAATCTTACGACCGATAATCGGTTAGTGTGAATAAATTATATACAAACTGTACTCTGATAACATACAGGGATTCGTGGTCACTATTTTATAGCATCTTGTGAAATTTATTGCGTTGTGTCATTATTATTGGTAGTCAAACTATAACGTCACTAGCAATCGAATTAAGTGTATAGGCATTAGGAAGTGACAAATTGAGAGTGAGTCTAGACAAGTCAAGGATACCTAAATGAGGTAATAGCTCTAGGAAATTCATACCTAAAAAGCAAAGAAAAACAATGACCGATCCTTTTGTGGATTGGATCAAACGAGCCCGGACCGACAAAGGGGAGACGGTTTCAGGCAGAATGGTTGAAACAAGGAGTCAGAAGACCTCAGAAGAGCAAAAAAACTGTTAGAAGTGGAGGTCAATACGGACCATGTCATGGATAACAACCAGGAAGTACATGGACTGGAAGGGAGAGGCAGAAGGCTGGCGAGTGAATCTACTCCGGTAGAACAAGGCCATGATTTTGCCACTTCCACTGGGACATTGGATCGAGAGGAGATGTCGGAACTGTCCGACATCTCAACTGAAATAGCGGCAAGTAGAAGATCTCCAACAGACAACACTATGATGGCAGGCGGAACTGAGAAACAAACAACGTCATCATCGTTCTCAGAAAGAATGAGGAACACCTTAGGAAACATCTTTCCATTCACCA